ATCAAATACAAGAATTACTATTATTATGATCATATAGCCAAACATATAACTTGGTAGCACACTACAAAATAATAATAATGAAGTAATTCTTGCCGTTCATGTCAGGACAACATCTCAAAATGCTTCATAGGATTGACTGTGAACTAACTGATTGTGTATGTGTAGGCAAACACGGCAGCACAATGTGAACGCGATAGCAAACAGCAATGTCCCATAAACAGGCATGAAACAAATGACCAGTTTTATTGGGGGATTGGGGGATTTTGTGTTTTGTTTATTGGGCGATTGTTGGCCAGGACTCATTTCTCTGCATAATGCGTTTAAACACAACTAAGCCATCATGGGAGCAACTTTACGAACTAATGAAAGTGAAATTACTTCTTTAAACTAATCAAAGACTATATCTATCTACCTATCTATCGTTATTATATATATATTAATAAAACGACAATGTCTGTCTGCGCTTCAAGAAGGATCTCAATAACCAATTTACGTAGAGGCATGATTTATACCTCATCGGAAAGGTCTTACACCTTGGAGTGACATGGGCATGGGCATATGTTTTCAGGTGTTTCCCATCATTCATGAGTTATTTTCAGTTTTGCATATTGTGCTGCAGTTACACCTGGTGGCCAAGCCGGTTGACATTCTTAAAGCGCTGAGTCCTCCCAAAAGGAGTCCTCCCACAGGAGTCTTCCTAGCTGAGTATAAAGATGAAATGTCTGTCTGTGAGTCAATCTACATTCCATATTGGATCCTTTGGTTGCAAGTGAAGCTACAACAGGTACAGCTAATATATATATTCCCATGGTTCCTGCTGGTGAAGGAAAGCTGCTGGTTTCATTCCCAATATTAAAAAAAATTCATTAACCCTAAGGTATAACTGCTAGCTTACTTCCCCAGAAAACGATTACATTTTAAACCATGTAAAATCAACTGCCTCAAGAAATCTTATGAAAAGACTTTGCTTAATAGAAGGAATCCCTTGGAAGCCAGTTGCAGCATTGTCTGCACCTGGATTTACACCAGTTGGACCAGAAGAGTGTTGCTGGGGTGCTACTGTGACAAAGGTATTGCCGATCATTGCAAAGGAAGTCATACGTAGGTAAATAATCCTTGCATTTGAGATAGCATCCTTTCACATCACAGAATCGTCTTAAAGTGCTTCACAGGATTTACTGTAAAATTGTGTGACTATGTATTTTGTGGACTAAATAATATAATCTTAATAATATTCTTTGTATTTGATAGTGTCTTCCACATCAGCCTTTTATAAACCCCATACAATTAACACAATACAATATAGCACCTTTCATGTTGGTAGAAAGTCTTAAAACACTTGACACGGCAGGCAGGACACCTGAGCTGGAGGTGGAAGTCCAGCGAGGTGGAGAGGGGAAAGATGAACGAAAATATGGTCAAAGAGATAGATCTTAAGATGGACCTTGAATCAGGTGGGGGGGGGGGGGGGTGGTGGGGGGGAGTGAGTTGGAGGAACTCAGGGATGGCGTTCCACAGAGTTGGGCAGAATACAGTTGCTGCAAGCACACCTGCTGATGGTGAGGTGGATTGGGTGGAGACATGAAGCAGGACAGTGCTTGCTGAGTGAAAGGAGTGATTAAGTATGACCGTGAGCAAGTGTATGGGAGAAAGTCTGATCAGAAACAGGAATGAGAGGAAAGACCATTTTATTGTATTGAATTTAAATGACCTCAGGATTGGAAGCCACAGGGTAGAGGTGGAAGAGGATTTTTGTATTAGCTAAATTCTAGATTAATACCATGAGTCAATTCAAATTGAATCAAATCTCCACATCACAAACGGTAACATCACATTTAAACTTACTAAGGTTAAGCGATTTACAATAAAACATGCAACAGAGTGTTATTTCTACTTATTGGTTTTTCAAAAGACTATTATGTTACAAATGTGGGTATTGTCTAAAGATTTATGGATCCAAATCAAAAGTTACAAAATGAATTGCTGCCATTCCTCAATTGGGAGATAAGCAGGAACCAGAAAACATAACTTTCTGACCCTCATTATTTGTCAAGAACAACATTTTAAAATATGCACTACCCTGTGTAGCAAACCTTTATACAATATTGTGACTAGTTTTTGATCCAGATGCCACCTTCTTCTTTATACAAAACAGCCCCATCTAGTGATAGCAATGCCATTATAACATTGATTTACGTAGATCATTAGAGCACAGAAACAGGCCACTTGTATTAAACATTCCAAGATTATCTGAGTGAATAGCACACAAAATAAGTGTTTGTTCAAACATTTATTTAAAGACAATTAAAAAAAACAAGTACGATTGGACCTCTAAATAATTACATTTATTGCATCAATGCATATTTGAGTTAAATTCACACGAAATGTATTTGTTTATGACACATTAAATCAAAGAGAACACTAAATCAGACCAGCATGTTTTCCTTACTTTTAGTGTTAAACTAAGCTAAACTGATAAATTGTTAATGACAATATGTTGGACTTCACATGTCACTAAAGTGATTTTAAAGCTGCATTCATTTGAGTTAATCATTGCTGAAAAGTCACTCAAGTGTGTACGTAGTCAATGCAGAAATAAACAAGTGTTTTAAATTCAGCTATTTCTGTTTTCAAACATTGGTCTGAGTCTTGCAAACAATGTCAACACTATTACAAGTAGCACATTCAGTTAAGGAAGTCACTCGCTACAATTAAAAGAGCATCACAATAGTGTTGAAGCTCATGAGCCACAGTTAGCACTGGGACATCCTCCCGATGTGAAATACACTATATAAATGGAATTTGTTGATGTTGCAAGTCCTGCTCCGAACAGTTTCTGATCAGTGTTGTCGGTTGAAAAGATGCCAAGTGAAGGTTGTGACACCTAACTGAGGCGATTATAATAATCTTTGCATTTGCTATAGAGCCTTATCACGTCATTGGACATCTCAAAGCGCTTCACAGAATATGTTGTAAAGTGGATTAACTGTGTATTTTGTGGGTGAAAGATAGGAGGAGATATGAGGGGGAAATTGGAGGGGAAATTCACCTTTGGATCATTTCTGACATGACCTAATAGCTGCCTACAGAAGATTTTTGAAATGGTGTGATAACAGGTTGTGACCACCTTCTTAACTGTAGGCACTAGGCCAGGTTGATGACAAGAAGGAAACAAAAATACAATAAAATGAGGGAAAGGATACCAATTACTCCATAAAAATAAAATATCAACAAAAGATTGCCACTGCCAAGAAGTGCTTAACTCAAATCCTGAAATTGTAAACCAAAACACTGAATAAATATATTTATTTAACTGTCTTTGTGGATGTTGACCAAGATTATTTAGTTCAAAAGCAATATAAACAACAATGCAAACCCGTATACTACGCAATTGTGGAGTCCTGTAGCTCAGTGGTTAGAGCACTCGCTTTGCAAGTGAGAGACCTGAGTTCAATTCCAGGCAGGGCGAAACCTTGGGCAAGTTTCCTTACTCCACACGCCTAATAATAATCCCTCCAAAAAAACAAAACAATAATAAATTGGTCATTTTCAATCTACGACTGTTTGTGGGACATTGCTGTGCGCAATTGGCTGCCGCGTTCGCCCACAAATATACAGTCAATTCACTTTACAGTGAAAAAAAAGCTGTGAAGCGCTTTGGGACGTCCTCCCGACGTGAAAAGCGCTATATCAAATGCAAGGATTATTATTATTATATTATTATTATTATAATTCAAAACATCCAGTGAACTTGGAATTTCATGGACTTAAATCCACAAGACATATTGGTGAAAAATAAATCATTAAGATCTGACATATGTTTTTCTTCCCAAGCCAGAAAAGATTACAATGTCCATAAAATGCATCTTACAATATTTCAGGACACTGGTTAGAACACTCGCCTTGCAAGCAAGAGACCTGGAATTGATTCCCAGAAGAGCAGCACCTTGAGCAAGTTTCCTTACTTCAGACGCCTTATAATAATCCCTCAAGATAAAAAACAATAATAATTTAGTCACTCAATCTACAATTGTTTGTGGACACTGATGTGTGCAATTGACTGCTGCGTTTCGCCCATAAATATACAGTCAATTCACTTTACAGTTTATTCTGTGAAGCACTTTGAGATGTCAAGAAGACATGAAAAGCGCTATATCAAATGCAAGGATTATTATTATATATATTGCTCATTTCTTTTTTAAATTAAATACATTGGTAAATCATGGGATGATCTCTGTGATACACAAGGCAATGAAATTGGGTCCTTCTCAAATTTAGGTTTCACTGAGATTTATAAAAATTGTATACAGTAGTGGTTCCATTTTAAAACCTAATTGTAAATATTAAAATGTTATTTTGCATAGACTTAAAGCATCTATTGCACACTTTTAATGAATGAAATTTACTAATAATTTCTAAGTGTACTTCTCCTGACAAGTTAGAAAAATAATAATAAATGAGCAATAGTCATAAATATTATTGCCTCCTCTTATCCTCATGAGTAGATAGTTGGTGGAAACCATTTTTCAAAAAGGAAGTCAATTGCAAGTCAGATACAGGCCTATAAACGAAAATAACTATTTGTCCTTTCATAATAATAATCTTTGCATTTGGTATAGCACCTTATCACGTCGGAAGGACATCTCAAAACACTTCACAGGATTTACTTTGAAGTGGAGTGACTTCAAAAGTTCTCAAAGTTTATTTGTAGGCAAGCACGGAAGCACAATTATGCACAGTAATGTCCCACAAACAGCCAAAGTCAAATTGATTTGGGGAATTGTTGGCCCAGAACACCAGGAGAGTGAAACTCCCTTTTCTTTTCAAATAGTGCTATGGGATCTTTAACGTCTACCTGAACAGGCAGCCAGGACCTTGGTTTAACATCTCATCCAAAGGACGGTACCTCCGACAATGTAACACACAACCAGCACTACAATAGAGTGTCATCTTCTGTGAGTTCAAGTCCGACAGCAGCGTCCCCCAAACAGTCATGGATTGAGTAAACAAATTTTTTATTTTTATATATTTTATACAGCAACATGAGAACGAATGCCCTGTAGGACTTTCTCCACTCAGATCGATCTTATGAACATCACTGACAACACCAACAACAACAAAATGACATTTGTATAGCGCCTTTCACATTGGGAGGACATCCCAAGGTGCTGGACAGTCAGCGTTTCAGACCCGAGCTGGGGGGAGAGGATGACTGAAGGAACGGTCGAAGAGGAGGGTCTTGAAGGTGGCAAGGGAGGAGGCGAGACAGAGGAACTGCGGGATGGAGTTCCAGAGAGTGGGCAAAGAGTGGCTGAGGCTCACCCGGCAATTCCAAATGGAATTGGTTTCGGGGGGAATTTCCAGCAATGTTATTGTTTGCAGTCAATACAATTTTGTAGTTATAATGGGCGGAGATAATCTGTGTAATATGAGGATTTCAATTTGGATGTCAGTGGTTGAGTACAAAAGTTAATTATGCATTTCTAGAATTGTTCAACCAGATTTTAGGTACAATACAGTCAACACTTCTTACTGGGTGATTCCAACATTGAACTGCTTGATCTTTCAATACAGGAATGGTATTAAAGCCTTTCTTGATGTTGGGTAATCTTCAAACTTTTCCAGATACCACCTGCAATTAAATATAAAAATACATATTGTTTGTGATATTTGTTTCAGAATTTCAAAATAGTCAGTTTTCTATTTTTAATTCAACACCAGCTTCTGTGGAGTTAGATTACTTTACATATCACAATTTTGCTTTTAGGTGTATTTAAATAAAATGCTACATTTCGTGTCTGGTTATACAATCAATATTTATTAAGCTCAATAAGTAACAAATATACAACTACAACTTGCATTTATGCATCACCCATCATGAGGGGTAGCGTCTAATCATTTAACCATGGCAGAGCTTGAGGCCGAGCTGGCGAGAAATGGGAGGTGTCTGTGTCATGTCAAAGAGATCAGCGTTCAGGTGCATGGCTACAGTATGGCTATTTCGAAATCAACACTTTTGAAAACTACAGAGAACCACTTTCAAAACAAAGCCTGAATTTCAGAATTGTCCAAAGGGTATATGTTCTGAATGCTAAGAAAAAAAAGTCTGAGACTAGACTAAGGTGAAGTTTCTGTACCCCAGAGATGTCTGAATAGAGGCATAAAGACACATGGTCTCACAGTTGTTTTCGATTGAGCTATTTGGCCTCTGCTGGAACTGAGGTACAACAAATTGATGTTGAATGGCTGTCAGTACATCAGCACAGCAGTAATCTACTTAAGTGGTTCAGATGACAAAGATTGATTGAGGCATTCCAGCAAATTGTTCATTAACAAAAGACATCACTACTAGTATCGGTGGATTAACATATAGCATTTATTTTTTAAAAAATATAATTTACGTTTAGCAATTAAAGAATATCACATCTGTGACACACTTCTCAGGAACAGGCAGTTGTGAATTGCTCAAAAAATTCACTGTCCGTATACAACAGTCATGAAGCTTGTCCTTAAATGAATTAGTAATTTCCCTAAATTCCTCAAAGGATCATTTGCTGGTCTTACTTATTGTGATTAAGCTAACTGTGTTTTAAAATTCACTCCTGTGAAGTGCTTTGAATCGTTCTCCAAACATGAAAGGAGCTGCACTGAAACCCCAGCGAGCCTAGCCAAGGTGGTGAGAGCTCCGGTCCAGACAGACAGAGATTTCTGCTAATTGGAATTAAATGCCGATACAGGCATTTACTGCCTTTTTTTGGAACTGGCTTTTTTCAGTGTCAAAAATGCTGGTAAACACTGGTACCAACATTGTGATTGTTTGAATCTCGCTAGCAAAAGGTAGAAAATAAGGAATCTTCTGCTCGCGGAATTAAAATTGAATTCGATATCCCTGGCCAATGAAGACCAGCAGACTGTGAGGCAGTGGTGGGTGTGGATGCCAGGAGGGTGTCCGGCAGGAGACTACAACAACACAATTACATTTATAAAGTGCCTTTATACGTCGGGAGGACGTCCCAAAGCGCTAACTTGGGTCTCGCCCAGGTCTTCATTATATATAATATATATTTTATATACATATTTAATATATATATATTTTATATACATATTTAATATATATATATTTAATATATATTTGATATATATTATATATTATATATAAATATATATATTATATATAAATATATATATTATATATAATACATCTATATATATTTTAGTGTTCTTAGTTTCAGACCTGGTCCAACTAGGTCCAAGTTCTGGATATCTGGAGAAGCCAGGGATTTACTTCATACCAAATGTAAGGATTATTATTATTTCCTGCACATAGTTAAATGAAGGCTACCCCATTAGCATTGCTGCAATGAGATTATGGGCGCATCCCAAATTATAGCATTCAGAACCTAATACTAGAAACCCAAAGGAAAGTAAGGTTCTATATAAAATGCGTTTGTTATCGGGCTAAATGGGAGGTATCTAATGGGAGACAACTCAGACGGTGTACCATAAGAATTGGGATCACTACTGTTTATGCATTTTGGACACAATTTACAGCTGACAATCAAAGGTGTCTAGATTTGAAGACAACACCAAATCCAAATTATGAACAAAATAGATGTGCAGAATCATCTGGAGAAGCTGGGAATTTAGGCAGAAAGTTGGCAGGTGCAGTTTATATAACAGAAATGTAAAATTCCAGGATTTAACAGAAAAAAGGGTCAGGTGAAATATATACAAAATAAGAATGTTCTTGAGATTATCTGAATAAGAAAGAGGTTTTGGTAATACAGAAGGGCAAGATTCAACCTTCCCTCGTCTGTTTGGATTTATAAACGCTGTTTTGCAAGCGAGAGACCCGAGTTCAATTCCAGGCAGGACGAAACCTTGGGCAAGTTTCCTTACTCCACACGCCAAATAATAATCCCTCCAAAAAAACAATAATAGAATTGGTCATTTTCAATCTACGATTGTTTGTGGGACATTGCTGTGCGCAATTGGCTGCCGCGTTCGCCCACAAATATACAGTCAATTCACTTTACAGTGTATTCTGTGAAGCGCTTTGGGACGTCCTCCTGACGTGAAAAGCGCAATATCAAATGCAAGGATTATTATTATTATTATTATAATTTAACTTGACCTAACCGAGAACAACTGAAACACAGTTTATTTTTGAGACCTCAGATCTTTCGGTTGTGACTGCTCTAGGATCTTGCTCTAAACAGGATGATGAAGAATTCCAGAAAGTTTACATTCAAACTGTTCAACACAATTTCAATATCAAGTCAATTAACCCAACTATAGTATCTAACAAGGCAATTAGACAACAGATTTTGGATTAGTGAATTGATGGAAGGAAGTGACACCGGTTAGTGCGTGAAAGACACCACTTAACTTAGAATCATTGCAGATGTGAAAAAAAAGCTTTATAAAGATTGTTCTCATTAGTGAAAACTGAAATGCACTGTGTCTCTGCAAGGTGGAATATTCTGTAGGTTGTTTGGGGTTTGGATCCAAACACAGACCATATGTCAATATTTTCTTTTTCAATGTCATGAATCATCACCTCCAAGAATTTCAGAGAGAGCAACAAAGCCCACATAACAGCAAGATTAGCAGCATTATCTTATTCATTTGATTTTTAAACCACACAATCACAATCTAAAAGGCCCTGTGAAGCATTAGAAAGGAACACTAGTTTGTTTGGTTGTTGAAAGTATGAAATCCCTTTCCATCTCCGTCCACCTCCACACACATTCCTATTCCAGCCAGTCAGAAAATTACTTGCTCTCAGGCCTCTGCAAATGCTGCTCTTCAGTTAGCGGCAAAAAGATTTTTGCTTCACAGGATAAACTGTAAAGTATATTGACTGAGTATTTTGTAAGCAAAATATAGAGCACGTACTTCAGAATCGACTGTGGATATTCACTTCGTACATAAACCAATTTGAATCATCCAAAATTAAACTGGATTAAAGTTACCTGTGATGTTGCGAAGCACGAGAAATAAGAACCATAAATGTAAACACAGCAAACGCTGCACTTGGCAGCGACCAGCAAGCTATGGCAAATCCTGTCCATTCCACGATCTCTCCAAGAAAATTAGCACCAGTTACGTATTCAAACATTCCTCCTATAAAACATCAGAGGCATTAAATTTTACAAAGTCAACAATAATCCTTTCTTTCAAATCATAAGGGCCTAACAGATGGTGTATATGTGTGTGTATGTATGTGAAAGGAAGAGAAGAAAATCGAAACGTCACTTACCCCTTGGGATCTTATATCCTGTTTCTCCAGGTTTACGCAAGTTTCTGAGGATGTGGTCAGAAGTAACATTGAGTAACAATCCAGAAAGCCACACTGCCAAACCTTAGAACAAGAAATTGCATTTAATGTTATTTCATCAAATTGCTCAACTGCTCAGTTTCCATTTTTCACTTGAGAATGAAACCTACTAGAAGCAGCAAATAGACAAATAAATTTGTGGGAAAAAAACATTCAACTGGCAACAGTATGTTTTGTTAAGAAACATGGAATAGCCAACAAGGGAATATAACAGTTGTAGTTGGCTTCAAGTAAGGCACTGAAGAAAAGTACAGGTTAATAGAACCAAATACTTGTAATGTTGCAATGCTTGGAGCCAATAATATATCTTTATTGGGGCTAGCAGAGTACAATAAATTGTTTAGCAGACATCCCTTTATTTTCAGTTAAGTAACCCAAAATGATGTACCTGTGCATTCTGTGACCTGCATTTTTATGTACCCTATGAAGTAGATTCTGTGAAGGTCTTTGAGATTCCATTCCAACATGAAAAGCACAGTTGAATGTAAGGATTATTATTATTATTTTATAGTATCACCCAAAACAAGTAAACAAACTGCTCAATGAAATTTGATGAAAGGTACAATTCCTGATAAATATGAAAATGAATAGGAAACATAAACCCGTTGCATAAAATGTACCATCCAGCTCATTGTGTCTGTGTCACTGTTAATTATCTTTCGAAATCACCCTCTTTTATTATTAATCACACTTTTCAGCATTTTGTCCCCTCATTTCCCATTTATAAAAACACAGAAAATTAAATTAAGAGCGAAAACAAAAATGATGCCCACAGACCCTTACTTGTATAATAGAAACATGCTAAATTCTTAAAGATATAATTTAAACAGCTTCTGACCAGGCGTGTAAGGACACCACCATCAGCGCTCACGTCGTGAATAATTCTGCAAGAAATTACTTTGCTGTTTCATTTTTACTCTACTGAAATTAATTTGTGAGTAACGGTAAAATTAATCATACCAAGAATCATCCGATAACATCTGATAGTGTGCTATTCATTGAAGACCTGGCTCACACGGTTGAGAACATTCTTACACCTCTAAGTCTCATTAACAATCCAGTTAACACAATGGCTTGGTTTACTACAACCCTGGCCGGCTTTGTCAGGTCATCTTCTTGGAAGCATTTCAACCCCAACGAGATCCAAATTGAATGCATGTCGGGCATCACATCTGATCTATGTGCCCTGTAGACATCCCTGACACCTCTTCGTACTAATGTTCAACCTTATTGCTTTTCTCTGTACTGTCTCTGGAGTATAGGCAGCCAACTTATATCAGAGTGGGCACAACAGTCTGACCAAGGTGCTGTAAGGCTTGAGCAAACTTGTGAATTGAACTCAGTTGATTTGGCAATGTAGCCCAACATCTTGTTTGTCCCATTTATTGTTGCCTCATACTATTTAGATATGTTGAACAACAAGTTAGTTTGTACCCTCAAGCCTCTTTGAACTTTCCCATTGGGCAATTTCTGTCCCTTGATTTGAACTGCCGTAGTATCAGGTTACACTTATTTCACAACACACTAAAAAGGAAAAAAAATATTTTTAACACAAAATTGCACAAAAAATTATCTGCATACTGTATTCACCTAATAATTCAACCACGTTAGGTGGACGTGGTTCAAATGGACAAGTCGTTCGTACTTTAGAACCCCTTAAACGTAGTTTGAGTTGCCCTCCACTTATTGCCTGAGCTTAAAAAAATCCACCATCAGAACTGATTTGCTACTCTGCATTCCATTCGCTACGAAAATGTTTTCCACAATGTTCGCAGCCTGACGGTTCAGCATTCCCGCATTCAATCTCCTGTTCAGCATTCTGAACATTAGTTCTACTTGCGTGCTATTTTTTTTTTAAACACGGGTAAGAAGACGGCTTTGCTCTCGGCACAGCAAAAACCACCAGCAAAAATGTACCACAAGTGCAAACATTTGATTTGTGTCTGGTCCCAATGCTGTTACAACACTCCTAATTTGGAAGGTGGGGGGAGGGTTGGTGCCATGCTTCAAACTGTAGAGGCTCTTGTCTGATTAGACATTCAACAAAAGCAGCGTGCAGATTCCATGCCAGTAAGTGTTTGCTCCGTTTTTCAATAAACCTCTGGCAGTCACGGACGCTGAACTGTAAGGTTTACTCAAGCCTGAAGGTGTTCTTTGGCCTCAATTGGAAGCCAACATACACTGAGGAATCAAAATCATTAATGCTGTAAATTCAGAGAGATTCACACAAGCATTTTAAGTCAAATATTTATAAAATTTTTAACATTTATCTTTAAAATTCTCCCCAGTTTTGACAACTTGCTTACACATCACTGCAATACATATTACATAGCATATAGGCTGTGAACAAATGTGTTTATATGTGCTATATTAAATGCAAGGATTGTTAGGGAAGAATTATACTTTTATATCACCTTATCATGTAAAAATGTCTCAAAGAACTTCACAGTAATTACCATCAAGTGATGTGAATCTTTTGTAGGCTAAATAGTGGTGTCAAAAGCAAAATTCAGCAACAGACAAAAGATATAGCCATCTATGTAAGACGTAGGCTGACTGCCTACCCAAAGCCTTCCTCCTCCTCACACCAGATTAGTACTTTTACCATCACTACACGAAGGATAGGAACTGTCAGCGACCATTATGTTTGCTCACTTCTTGTGCTTCTGCCTTTGACCTACACACTGGTCAGTTTTAGCAGCAGGTGATTAAACCCCTGAATGTACAGAATCACTTATAAAAGCTGCTCTATATCAGCCAACAATATTAAAATTAAAGAGCTTTCTTTCTGCTACAACCTGCAACAATAAAGGGGAAACACAGAACTCTATTGATTTTAATCAACTCCTTCCCTTAGTGATCATGTTGATTGCATTTCTTAAGCGCTCCGAGACACCGACCGGCGTGAAGGGCACCATGTAAATGCAAGTTGTTGTTTTTATGTATAAATGTCTGGAGAGCATATTACAGTATTAAATTTGAAACCTTGGCAGACTAACTTGGTATCTGTGATGCGCCACCTGCTGTTGTAATAAAATGTTGTCAGCTGTTAGCCAGACCCACTGTGTCAGATTCCTCCGACATCAGTTTTGGTGAATTTGCTGGAAAGGGAAAAATAATGTGATCCATTTTATACTGAGCAAGTTAACAAGCTGTAAATAAAAACATTACTGGATTGTACTTCTGCCACCTCAGCTTCATAATGATAATAATAAAAATCCTTACATTAGATATAGGGAATTTCACACCAGGAGAACGTCTCAAAGTGCTTCACAGAACAAACTGTAAAAATGTAGTGACATGTATTTTGTGGAAAGACACAGTAATTTGCACCAGGAACTGAATGTTCATTCTGGGGATTGTTGGCCTCAACACCAGGAGAAACTCCCTTCTCTTTTTAAATATTTTCTTGGGACTTTAACATTCACCTGAACAGATAGACAGTACCTCAGTTTAATGTCTCATCCAAAAGATGGCACCTCCAGCAACGCAGCACACAGCTCAAACTACATTGGAGTGTCAGCATTGACTATATGGGTTTAAAATCCCGACATGCGGCTTGAACCCACAACCTTCTGACTCAGAGGCGAGAGTGCTACAAACTGAGCCAGACCGATGTATGGCTGGTCCGCTCAGTCCTTCATTCCTCCCCCAAACAAATGTTTTAAAAAAGCAAATTAAGATTACCTGTGAGGAAACGTGGGTCAGTTATCCAATCTGCTGGGTAAATAGCAAACCTGCTTAGGTATCTGCCCTGCAGATATCCATTATAAACGCAAAATGTGAACGCCAATATAAATGGAATAAAAGGTGTTGCCTTTCCTCCTCTAATTAAAAAGGGGAACATAAATGCCCTGAAAAAAAATAGAAAATGTTGATTTTTTTTTAAAGAAACAAAAAAATACACAGAACAGTGTATAACAGCACGTCATATTTAAGAATGTTTGAATAGGTTGTCCACCACTGGAATGCCAGAAATCCGTGCTGTGGGAATGATTTGTTTTTCATAATTTTATTTTGGCATCAGTAACATTTAAACCGCTCTATTTCATTTTCTCGCTATCTATCGCATTTCTGATTAGTACAGCTCTGAGTTAATGGGAACCCAGTGTAGAAAACGAATTAAAATTGATCCAGAAACAAATATCTTTAACTAAATTTTGTTAAACAATATTAATTATACTGCTAGCTAACCCACATACAACAACAACTTGCATAAACATAGTGCCATTCACATGGGGTAGTGTCTTGGAATCCTTAACATTGGTGGAGCCTAACGCTAACCGGGGAAGCAGGGAGGTGTGTGTGTGGGGTGTGTGGGGTGGGGGGGGGTGGGTGGGGTGTTGGGTGTGTGGGGTGGGTGGTGTGTGTGGGTGGGAGGGGGTGGGGGGTGGGGGGAGAGGGGGGTGTGGGGGTGTGGGGTGTGTGGGGTGGGGGGGAGAGGGGGGTGTGGGGTGTGTGGGGTGGGGGGGAGAGGGGGTGTGGGGTGTGTGTGGGTGGGAGAGGGGGGTGTGGGGGGGAGAGGGGTGGGGTGGGGGGGTGTGGGGTGTGTGGGGTGGGGGGGAGAGGGGGGTGTGGGGTGTGTGTGGGTGGGAGAGGGGGTGTGGGGGGGAGAGGGAGGTGTGGGGGGGGGTGTGGGGTGGGGGGTGTGTGGGGGTGGTGGTGTGTGTGTGGGGGTGGAGAGGGGGTGTGGGGGGGAGAGGGGTGGGGTGGGGGGGTGTGGGGTGTGTGGGGGTGGTGGTGTGTGTGTGGGGGTGGAGAGGGGGGTGTGGGGGGGAGAGGGGTGGGGTGGGGGGGGGTGTGGGGTGGGGGGGTGTGTGGGGGTGGTGGTGTGTGTGTGGGGGTGGAGAGGGGGGTGTGGGGGGGAGAGGGGTGGGGTGGGGGGGTGTGGGGGTGTGTGGGGGTGGTGGTGTGTGTGTGGGGGTGGAGAGGGGGGTGTGGGGGGGAGAGGGGTGGGGGTGGGGGGGGGTGTGGGGTGGTGGTGTGTGTGTGGGGGTGGAGAGGGGTGTGGGGGGGAGAGGGGTGGGGTGGGGGGTGTGGGGGTGTGTGGGGGTGGTGGTGTGTGTGTGGGGGTGGAGAGGGGGGTGTGGGGGGGAGAGGGGTGGGGTGGGGGGGGTGTGGGGGTGTGTGGGGGTGGTGGTGTGTGTGTGGGGGTGGAGAGGGGGGTGTGGGGGGGAGAGGGGTGGGGTGGGGGGGTGTGGGGGTGTGTGGGGTGGTGGTGTGTGTGTGGGGTGGAGAGGGGGTGTGGGGGGGAGAGGGGTGGGGTGGGGGGGGGGTGGGGGGTGTGTGGGGTGGTGGTGTGTGTGTGGGGGTGGAGAGGGGGGTGTGGGGTGTGTGTGGGGTGGGGGGGGTGTGGGGGGGAGAGGGGTGGGGTGGGGGGGGGTGTGGGGGTGGGGGGGTGGTGTGTGTGTGGGGTGGAGAGGGGGTGTGGGGGGAGAGGGGTGGGGTGGGGGGGTGTGGGGTGGGGGGGTGTGTGGGGGTGGTGGTGTGTGTGTGGGGGTGGGGGGGGGTGTGGGGTGTGTGTGGGGGTGGAGAGGGGGTGTGGGGGTGGAGAGGGGGGTGTGGGGGGAGAGGGGGGTGTGGGGTGTGTGTGGGGGTGGTGATGTGTGTGTGGGGGTGGAGAGGGGGCTGTGGGGGGGGTGAGGGGGTGGGGAGGGGGGGCCATGCGCGCAGCCTCCTTACCTGTGGATGTAGTGGATGGTGAACATGCTCAGGAGCACCAGGTTGGGCCGCTGCAGGGAGGAAGCGCTGCCCGCGCTGCAGAGCCCCAGGTAGAGCGGCAGGACCATGGCCGGGGCCTCCTGCACGCACCAGGCGAGCTTCACGTGGACCGGGAAGCCGAACTTCCTGGAGGCGAACCGGCCGTAGGGCAAGTCGACGAACTGCAGGAGCAGGAAAGCCGCAGCGCCCGTGAGGATCATGAGCCACGACAGGCGCCGCAGCAGCAGCAGCTCACCGTCCCCGCCCGCCGGGCCCAGGAAGCCCGGGGCGGACAGGCAGCAGCAGCAGCACATCGCTCGCACCGGGGCTGCCAATGGTGACCGCGCGCGGAGACGGCGGCGACACCGCGGCTCCTGACACCCACCGCCCCCACCGGGAGGGCGGGGGGAGGGGCTTCACCCGGGGATTGACGCGAAAGGCGACCAATCGGAAGCGGGGCCTCCCGGGGGGGAGGGGCTTCACCCGGGGATTGACGCGAAAGGCGGCCAATCGGAAGCGGCGCCTCCCGGGGGGGGCGGGCGGGGGCTTCACCCGGGGGTTGGCGCGAAAGGCGACCAATCGGAAGCGGCGCCTCCTGGGGGGGCGGGCGGGGGCTTCACCGGGGGTTGACGCGAAAGGCGGCCAATCGGAAGCGGGGCCTCCGGGAGGGCGTGGGGGAGGGTGGTTCACCCGGAGATTGACGCGAAAGGCGGCCAATCGGAAGCGGGGCCTCCGGGAGGGCGTGGGGCAGGGTGGTTCACGCGGAGATTGACACGAAAGGCGGCCAATCGGAAGCGGCACCTCCCGGGGGCGGGCGGGGGCTTCACCCGGGGGTTGACGCGAAAGGCGGCCAATCGGAAGCGGGGCCTCCGGGAGGGCGTGGGGGAGGGTGGTTCACGCGGAGATTGACACGAAAGGCGGCCAATCGGAAGCGGCGCCTCGGCCAGAGGAGGCGGGGCGGCTGTGATTGACCGGGAGTCGGGCCAATCGCTGGCCGGGCCGGACCCGGGCGCGTCATGTGGAGAGCAGCGGCGGGTCGGGTGGTGTGTGTGAGCGGCCGCAGAGAGGTCACCCACTGCACTGCACTGCACTCCTCGCCACTGTGTCTCGGGGAGTCCCCAAGAACTCGGCCCGGATTTGCTGTCAGTTTAGTGGCTGTACGTTCGGTCCACACCTTCCTCCACTTGACGCCATTACGATAATATTCCTTGCGTTTGAGGTGGCGCCAAAAGCGCTTCACAGAATACGCTGCAAAGTGAAGTGACCGCGCACTTTGTGGGCGAAACGCGGCAGTCAATTCGCACAGAGGTGTCCCACAAACGGTCATGGATTGAGTGACCGCATTTTTCCCAAGTGATTGTTACACCCGGAAAGGCCATCCGCCATTGACTAACAACAGGGTTCCTACTCACTGCTGGGTAAAGGGCGGCGTGTGGGCGTAAGGAAACTTGCCCAACATTTCTCCCTCCCGGGAATCGAACCCAGGTCCTCTCGTTTGCGAGGCGAGCGCTTGTGGAAAGTGTGGGAATGTTGTTCATCTTTGGGCAATGTCGTTCATCTTTGGGCAATCGCAAAAGTTTCAGAATAGGCAAAGGCAATGAGACAAAACATGTTTTCGCATTTGGTGTAAGCTCAGCTTTGTTTTGGTTTGCAACTGTCGATGTATATGTTATTGTGCTAAGGAACCCGGGACCCATATCTCTTTTTCTGAAAGAAACAGACATCCAATTATGGGAAAATGGAACCTGTATAAAAGTCAGATGTTTTTATCTGGTGTGCAGTGTGGGGAGCAGTATCTTGAGAGAGTTGTTGCTACCGCTCTGCACCTCATATGAAATAAAGCGTTTTTTGGATGTTTACCGCACTGACTCCGTGTTGAGTTTTTCAGGTCTTTAAGAGCAATCGCACATCGCAATCGGGATTTTAACATGCTCTAACCATTATTATGGTTTGGTGAAGAAACATTGAGCTGAAGGTCCTTCTTCATCTGAATTTCACTTGTGATCTTTTCACTCCTGACTGATTAAAAAAAAATCCTAAAGTATGACCAGAGATCTTGCACTACAAATCGTAAACCTCAAATGGGAAATCATTATAACGCTGCAATGCACAGCTTTTACATTGCCTCACACTGACCTTTACTGAATTTTGTTTTAGGTGTACGCACACTGATGGATCGAGCCACGTAACCAACACTTAATAGTTTTTCAAACTACATTTCAAATTCTATTCATGGATATGCAATTTCGCATTGAATTAGGAAGGCAGTCAAGGTAACAGAGAGAGTGCAGGATTACAGAGAAGTGACTAAGATGATACAAGCAATGAGAAGAAACCACAGCTGTCTTCTGTACAACAAAGAAGGATAGGCAGAGACCCGATATACGTCATCAAAATTATGAACGGTTTTGATAACGTAAATAAGAAGAAACTATTTCCTCTGGTGGGTGAGTCACTAACTAGAGGACGTAAATTTAAGATCATTACCAAAACAATTGAGAGGTTCAGGGACCTAAACATTAGGAACAGTGACATGTTCTGCACAGAAGGAAGTCCTTTGACTCATCATGTCTCTGAAATTTGGAATGTCCTACTAAAACCAGTGGTTGAAACAGAATTCATAATAGCTTTAAAATAATAGTAATCCTTACATTTGATATAACCGCAATGTTTCCCAATTGTAAACTGCTGTGACTGTACATTTAATAATAATAATGATGACTGTCTATTTGTAGCAAATCCAGAACTTATATAGTCAGGCTGGACCAATTCAGTGCTGGGGGTATGTTGTATTATCTGAGATGCAGTCCTTTGGATGAGACATTAAATCAAGGTCCCAAACACACAGTCGCTCCATTTCACAGTAAATTACATCAATAAATCTAGGCTCGATTACACCAACTTCTTGCTTGTTGGCCTTCCCAACCCTTCCCTCCTGTAGGTAATTTTACTTGACACCACATTACTTTCAAAGATAGGTTTTATTTACATTTGAACAGACAAATCAACTACACTGTATCCCTTATACAGATATACTAGGCAACAGACAGAATCTAAATCATATTACTCAGTACTCCTCTTTCCCTCTTAATGGTCTCTTTCTTGCTGGAGATAAATTCCCTCATCCATGTACATATACATACAGTAGAATCAATATTGATTCCACTGGGAAGTGCACTGACCCTCTACACAACTTCAACTATTTCAAAGTTATATCTTTTATGCTTTTCTAACTCCACCTCCCCTGGTCATAGAGGTAGGCCCCATCCTTTGCAAGCTGCTTTGCACAGAGAGAGATGTGGACAATTTTTTGGCAGCCTTCCACAGCCTGCTTGTTTCTCATATGAAATGTAAGAATGTATGTAAATGTAAATATGAAATTTAATCAGAAGCTAACCTTAACACGTCCAGCAAAGCTACTTTTAAGCCCCAATTTATCTGGAACATTTGGTTGCTGCTATCAATATTCCAATGTATCCTGAGGTGATAGTCACTATATTTCAACACTCCACAAGCTGCATATCATTCCGAACTCTGCAGCGTGAGTCCTCTCCTGCACCAGGCTCTGTGACCCTCTCACCCCCGCACGGCTCCATTGGCTCACCATCCACCAGAGGATAGAGTTCAAAAATCGTCATCCTCGTCTTCAAAGCTCTCTACAGCCTTACTCCTTCCTACCTCTCTGACCTGCTGACTGCATATCGACCTGTCTGCTCCCTCCGCTCTGCTTCACATGCCTCGCCCGGCCCACCCCACCATCGGTGATCGGGCCTTCAGCCTCTCTGCCTCCACCGTTTGGGACTCCATTGCAGTCCCTTTGGCTTGTTCCCTCGACTCCTTCGTCACATCTTAAAAGCCTCCTCTTCGAATGCGCTTTCAGTCACCTTCGTAACCCTACCCTCCCCGCGCTCCACCCCTACTGACCCCAACCCCCGCTTAGGTCCAAATCCTGACAGTTCAGCACCTTGGAACATCCTTCCAACATGAAAGGCGCTATGTAAATGTAATATACTAAATGTAAGGATGATCATTAATATTTAATATTTCAAATGATTTGAGATTTCAACCTCTTTCAGATTTAAAGATGTATTAACATATTACCTGAATAAATAAAGGAGTTTTTCCTGGTTCTCTGCCAAAATTCAGTTATAGCTGGTATTAAATATGCAAAAAGGCCTAGAGAATGCAAGTAGAAATTTTGAAGCTTTAAGTAAAGCTCGAAATTAGAAGAAATTGCTAGAGATCCCTCCAACTTGCTCCCTACCCTCTTTCAACGTTATGCATCAAAACATATCTCTTTGACTGCACTTATGGTCATCTTTCCTCTCCTGATCTCCCTCGGTTCCCACCCACAGCTCTGATGCCCAGCCGGAATTATCAGTAGATTTGGGACGTCTTCCCGGCATGAAAGGTACTATATAAGAATAAATTGTATTTTAATGTAAATATGTGCAATACAACACCAATCAAATAAGCAAAGACTACAGCGATTGGGTCCTTTTAAAACTAAGTGTTAAGTATTTAGAAGTCCTGTAGCATATTGGTTAGAGCACTTGCTTTGCAAGCGTGAGGACACAGGTTCGAATCTCGGGCAGGGTGAAACCTTAGGCAAGTTTTCCTTAATCCACACGTCTCTGTTTATCTAGTAGTAAGTAGGAACCTGGCTGTTAATCGATTGGCAAATCACTTTCTGAGAGTAATAATCCATTCAAAGNAAAAAAATTGGGTCACTCAATTCTGTGCACAATTGACTGCCGCGTTTCGCCCACAATATATAGTCAATTGACTTTATAGTAACAAAAACAGAAGTTGTTGGGAACCCTCAGCAGGTCAGGCAGCATCTATGGAGAAAGTGAGTCAACGTTTCGGGTCCACGACCTTCATCAGAACTGGGGCATGTTGGGAGGTAGAGGCTTAAAGAGCAAATCACTTTACAGTGTATTGTTTGAAGTGCTTTGAGACATTTTAATGATTTAATAAGGTGCTATATCAAATGCAAGGATTATTATTATTTAAGAAAAATGAAGGCTGTTGAGTCTTAGTCACACTAAATGGAGGTGATCAAATACAGAAATGTCACGCGTGGAGTGCAGTCCCGAAGCGCTTACTGACTGTGTATTTGTTGGCCCGCAACTGTGTCCTACAAACAGCCATGAAAAGAATGAACAATTTTAATTGGGAGGGGGTGGATCGTTAGCAGTAAAATGCAACGTATTTAAAGCGAGAATAAATAATAATTTTTAAAAAGATGCATTTGAAATTCAGCACTTTTGTTTTTCTTGTGTGTTTCACCCACGTGATAGTCAACCCACTCGGCAGGATCATTTCTTTTTGAAGCGCTTTGAGACGTCTCAATGATGTGATCAGGCGCTGTATCAGATGCAAGGATTATTATTATTATAAATAAGCAGTGGATGGGTGAGTGAGTAGGTGAGTGAGTGAGTGAGTAGGTGAGTGAGTGAGTGAGTGAGTGGGTGGGTGAGTGAGTGAGTGAGTGGGTGAGTGGGTCAGTGAGTGGGTGGGTGAGTGAGTGGGTCAGTGAGTGGGTGGGTGAGTGAGTGAGTGAGTGGGTGAGTGGGTCAGTGAGTGGGTGGGTGAGTGATTGGGTCAGTGAGTGGGTGGGTGAGTGAGTGGGTCAGTGAGTGGGTGGGTGAGTGGGTCAGTGAGTGAGTGGGTGAGTGAGTGGGTCAGTGAGTGGGTGGGTGAGTGAGTGGGTCAGTGAGTGGGTGGGTGAGTGGGCCAGTGAGTGAGTGGGTGAGTGAGTGGGTCAGTGAGTGGGTGAGTGAGTGAGTGGGTCAGTGAGTGGGTGAGTGGTCAGTGAGTGGCTGGGTGGGTCAGTGGGTGAGTGAGTGGGTCAGTGGGTGAGTGAGTGGGTGGTCAGTGAGTGGGTCAGTGGGTGGGTGGGTGGTCAGTGAGTGGGTGGGTGGTCAGTGAGTGGGTCAGTGGGTGGGTGGTCAGTGAGTGGGTCAGTGGGTGGTCAGTGAGTGGGTCAGTGAGTGGGTGGGTGGTCAGTGAGTGGGTCAGTGGGTGGGTGGGTGGTCAGTGAGTGGGTCAGTGAGTGGGTGGGTGGTCGGTGAGTGGGTCAGTGGGTGAGTGGGTGGGTGGTCAGTGAGTGGGTCAGTGGGTGGTCAGTGGGTGTGGGTGGTCAGTGGGTGGGTGGGGGGTCAGTGGGTGGGTGGGGGGGTCAGTGGGTGGTCAGTGGGTGGGTGGGTGGTCAGTGAGTGGGTGGGGGGTCAGTGGGTCAGTGGGTGGTGATGGCTGAGCACAGCCCCTGTGTGTGTCGGTAGTGGACCATTGCTCACGAGCCGCAGCGCACAGATTCTCTGTGTGCGCGCGCACGTGACCTGCAGTGGCTGAGCTGCCCCACTCATTCGCCAGATACAGTTTGCACCGCGGGCGCGGCTCGGTGTGCGGGTGTGCGGTGCGGTCAGTGCAAAGCTCAGACTCCTTCTCTGGTCATCGCACATCCGCTTTGCTTTTGCGGCCCAGAAAAAAAAAAACCGTTGCGTTTTACGGTATTTTAAGGTGTTTGTGTGGGTGAGAAAGGCGACTGCGGGGGCACCGGCGGCGGGTCTTACAGTCGCCGAGCGCGAGGCCCCCGGGTACACGCGTTAGGAGCAGCGACGAGAGGCGGAGAGACAGTCAGTGCCCCCACACACCGCACACACCGCGGCCTCTCCCCCCCACACACACACACCGCGGCCTCTCCCCCCCCCACACCCCCCCCCCCCCACACACCGCGGCCTCTCCCCCCACACCACCGCGGCCTCTCCCCCCCACACACCGCGGCCTCTCCCCCCCCACACCCCCCCCCCCACACACCGCGGCCTCTCCCCCCCACACACACACCCCGCGGCCTCTCCCCCCCCCCCCACCCCCTGTACACACACCGCGGCCTCTCCCCCCCACACACCCCCCACACACACCGCGGCCTCTCCCCCCCCACACCCCCCACACACCGCGGCCTCTCCCCCCCCCACCCCCCACACACCGCGGCCTCTCCCCCCCACACACCCCCTGTACACACACCGCGGCCTCTCCTGGTCCCCCCCCGCGCGGCCCCCGACAGACACATTACGATTCATCGAGTTATTGCCGTCCTTTGCGCGATGGGGCGAAGGAAGAACAGACCCAGAAATCGGGACAGGAACGAGAGCACTGGCGCCGGAGCCGCTGTAAGTCCAGTCAGTCCAGAGAATAGATAACTTACTGGTGTTAGATTAACTCACACCTCAATAGACCCTGAATCCCGTTTGTAGCCTCTACCGCCCCCCGCTTGTTGGGCTGTGTTGGGTTGTGTTGGGTTGGGTTGTGTTGGGTTGGGTTGTGTTGGGCTGGGCTGGGTGGGCTGGGTTTGGGGTTGGGCTGGGTTGGGTTGGGCTGGGCTGGGTTGGGTTGTGTTGGGCTGGGCTGGGTTGGGTTGGGTTGGGCTGGGCTGGGAAGCGTCTCAAAGCATTTCACAAGATTGATTGTAAGTTGGAGTTGGTTCCTTTATTTGTTGGCATTGACTCAGCCTGCACACAGCAATGACCCAAAACAGCCATACAACAAATGAGCAATGTTACCTGGGGGATGGTTGGCCAGGACACAGGGAGAAAGGACCTGGGTTTAATGTCTCATCCAAAGGACCCCCACCTCTGACAACGCATCACACCCCCAGCTCTGCATTACAGTGTCAGCCTCGACTATGGAAGTTCAAGTTCTCATGTTGGGTTTGAACTCATAAGCTTCTGACTCAGGTGAGAGTGCGACCAACCGAGCCAGACTTATTGGCAATCTCCCCCTCCGCTGCCCTGAATCTTTATTCAGTATGTTTTGAAGCTCATTAATATCAATAATTTAAGATCAACATTAACCACCCAAGAGTCCATGCTTTGCTGATTTTTTGGGGGTCAGGCAATTGTCTGTCACATGAAGAAACCTATTACCATGTTTGAGTGTATCGAAAACAAACTGAGAGTTCTATGCATTCTACCTGTACATGGAAATTCCCAAGATACTTAGTGGAAAGAATCCCTGCCCCCAGTGACTCATTTGCTCCTCAAAAACCCATTGATGAGCCAGGCTGGCTGGGCTGCCATCAGCAGTGCCTGGACAACCGAGACCACCACAAAAGATTCATAGGATTGATTTTGCCAGTTGCCAAGTACGTTACCTTGGAGCCAGTTCAGCTTCAAGGAGCTCTCCCACCTTCCAGGATAATAATAGTAACAAATCCTTGCATTTGATGTAGAGCTTATCACATCTTTGAGATGTCGCAAAGCGCTTCACAGAATATACTGTAAAGTGAATTGACTGTATAGTTTATGGGTGAAACGCGGCAGCCAATTGCACACAGCGGTGTCCCACAAACAGTCGTGGATTAAGTGACTGATTTATTATTTTTTGAAGGCATTATTACCTCTGGAAAGCAATCCTCCAATCGACTAACAACCGGGTTCTTACTTACTGCTAGGTAAACAGAGGGGTCTGGAGTAAGGAAACTTTTCCAGTGTTTCGCCCTGCCGGGAATTGACCCTAGGTCTCATTTGCAAAGCGAGTGCTCTAACCACTGAACTACAGGACTCTGAAACCAGTGAACTACAGGATAGTTGCTTGACATCCAAAAAAGTTTTAGAAATCAATCGCAACATATAGAACATGACACCAGAGCTGAGCATTTCACAAGATGCACTTTTTATCTTCTTTGCACTTGTATACAGTCGTAATGACCGTACTCTAATAATAGTCTAGTGACTTGATCAGCCTTGCTCAGTTGGTAGGAATCAAGCCAGAAAGTTGAGGGTTCAAACCCCAAGTCAGGACTTTGAACTTATAGTCTAGGCCAGTGGTGGCCAACCTGCCAAGATGAGCCCCTCCCCCGAACATTTGCACAAGTCTAGGTAAGACCATGTTCGATCAGTGGTGTGTTTTCAGTTTCTTTTTCTTGGTTTGATTCATGGCATTTTGGCTAAACAAAATTGGTCACTTCACCTCATGGCTCTTTGTAGGACATTGCTGTGCATAAATTAGCTGTTCCATTTGCCTACAAAATGTACAGTCATTGCAGTTTACAATAAATCCTTTAAAGAATTTTGACAAGTCCTCCTGATATGGAAGGCCATATCATATGTAAATGGTTTAATATTATGAAATTGTTATCTGCTCTGTTCCGTTGGGTTCAGATGAGTTTAATTGCAGTCTATTTTAACCAAGATTGCACAAATTATTCCAACATGTTGATGGGTTCTTTTGCATCTCTCTTCACTCTCCCCTATGCTGTCTTGGTCTTTTTCCAAAGGGTTGGGGAGCTGGCTACCAAGATATTATAAAAGAAAATGAGTTGTATGAGAAATATTATAAAGAACTAAAGATTGTTCCTGTGGAGGAGTGGGATCAGTTTATGGCATCCATGAGAGAGCCACTACCAGCCACGATTAGAATAACTGGATATAAAAGGTAAGGCTGAAACCCTGAAATGGAAAAGGGAAGTAAACTCGATTTAATTTCATTCCAGATTAGCCTAGAGTACACAATACGATTAAGCTTGGGTATCTTCCGGACGTGAAATATAAATTTGGCGTTGAACATTATTTATAATATCTGGTTTGTGCAGATGTAGCTATTTTCCATTTTAATCTTGTGTTTTGACCACCATACAAGATGTAGTTTATGAACGAGATGCACTGTGCTATCCTGAAATCTATGGGGATAAAAGCTAAAAAAAACTGATGGGTGTAAATTTCAAGTGTTTCAAAGTAAAATTTAAAGTGGGAATTTTAGCAATTAGTTGTGTATAATTGACTAAAATTAACCGATTTTACAAAGAAACAAAAAAAGCACAATAAGTAATGGTAAACAAAAAGAAATGTTAAGACTGTTGATTAGGTTAGATTGCTTTAAATTCAGACATGATTTGCAGTCTTTCTTGCATAATGCAGATGCCTTGAGATGAAGGTTTATACCCATTAAACACAATGGGGGGTGGGGGGAGGTGGGGGTTGGTAGGAGAAGTTTGACTGGCTATTTTTCAGAAACGGTTTGCATCACAGCCACTTGTTGGTAAGACAGATAAACTGCACCATAGAGTTTGGTAGCTATATGCTTCTTAAAATAAATGCAATACTTCATTCCTGTATTATGTTTGTGTACACATGCACAAACCCTAACCCTAAACCAAATTTCATTAAAAGCTTAAGTTTCATCATTTTTTGCCTTTATACTCCTATTCAATGACCTCCTCCACTTTGTGCTTCTCTTGTATAGCCATGCAGAGGAAATTCTGCAGTGCCTAAAAACAAAATATTTCAAAGAGTTACAAGACCTTGAAGTGGATGGACAACAGATAGAGGCCCCACAGCCCTTGAAGTGGTAAGAAGCAGAAATACTAAAGAGGTGTTTGGAGGTTTTTCTTTTAAATGATTGGACTAAAGTGAAGATTTGTTTCCCAGGTATCCAGGTGAACTGGCTTGGCACATAAACATCAGCAGAAAGATGCTAAGAAAGTCACCCGTCTTGGAGAAATTCCACCAGTTTCTTGTTAGTGAAACTGAATCTGTAAGTATTCAAGTGATTTATTTAAAAGTGCACCCTTTATTACTATAAGAAAACGTTTGTTAGTCTGAGATACTTATATGGAGAAGGACATAATTCGTATAAAGTTATTTGTTCCATAAATATTGTTATTTTCTTATCAAAATCTGTATTTGCACAATTTTCAATAAATATTGTGCAGCTGTGTATTTCTGCATTGGTCATTTCTTACTCCTTTTGGCTTCTGTATATTCAATACAGGGTTTAAAGATGTTCATTCAAAAATTAGTTCAAAAATGTCCAGGAGCTACTGGAAATTTTGTAAATTGCTGGAATTATAGATTATATATTTCTATATTTATAATAGTCCCTTGATATTTGTACAATTTTTCATTTGGGGCATTGTGTTAAACATCAGAAATATAAACTTCAAATTGCTTGAAGGTTTCCTTGTGGGCCATTCTACACATAATTTATAGCTGTAATCTGTTTCATCTGAAAAATGAATGTGATATAGCATATGTGAATGTCTCTTTCTGCTCCTATGCTTAAGTGGTTAATTTTTACAACAATTGTAACTAGACGTGTTTATATTAGGCCAGAACACTAATTCCTGTGAATTAGTGATTTAAAGGAAGTCTTTGAGACTTCCTCCCAACATGAAAGATGAAATATCAAATACCAGGCTTATTATATTATTATTTATTAATAATTAATCCTGCTCCAGGTGTGCTTCACCCAGAGAATTGCTGCTTATGTTTGTGCCTTTTCATTGAGGCATTTATTGAATGTATCCTGTTTTCATGTGCATGCTCTCAATCTTTCTCTCTCTCTTCCCTCGTCCCCGCTCCCTATTCAGGGAAATATCAGTCGCCAGGAAGCTGTCAGTATGATTCCTCCTTTGCTGATGGACATTAAACCCCATCACAAGGTAATACGAGTTTTCTTACTTCAAGATCAATAGGTCAGAGTGATAGCAGAAATTGATTTTCTTTTAGTCAGCACGTAAAGGATGACCCAAAAGTAAGAATTTTCCTCTCCCAGGTTCAACTATTATCACTATAATCCACTAGTTGTTCCCAAGGTGGTTCATTCCACCCGAAGACATGGCAAGTCAGAATTTTTTGCAAAGCAAGTACGGATAAAGGATTGATATCCAAGACCCATTGTATTTACGTTGGTAAACTGTGTGGTTGTCTTATTCCAAGTGCTTTCTTGCTATTTCCCCCAGAGGGCACTGGAAGGCAGTGCAATGTTGGTTCACTCTTGTCGAGAACCAGAATGACACTTCAGGAAGTAATATAGTTTGCTCTTCAATACTCCGCTAGAATTTTATCAATGTTTTATATCTATAAATATTGGTTTATATTTAAAAACTTAAGTTAGCTACATTTTAACTAATGTAATAATGATTTATCATGATGCATTTTAAAGTGTGACCAGTACTGTTTTTAGGTAAACATTAGGAGCTTTCCCATTTAGCTACATTGTACACACATGACTGATGTAGGTGGTGCCCTAGATTTCTCTGGTTATAACCTGGGCCAATAGAAAAATGCGGCTGCACTTTGCCCGCAGAATCTGCTATGAATGTCCTTCTCTGCTACAAGCCGGCTGCAAGTGTAGTTTTTTGCCTCTCGCTGTTTACCTGACATCACAGTGGGTGGGATGGCTGTGTGTGTGTTTATGAGTGTCTCAGTGAATTGTCTTTCGCTTTCCCAGGATCTTGTACTCCAGGATGGACTTGGAGTTTTAGGTAGGAGGTGATCAGAGGAGAGACAAGGAAATAGTTAACCAATTGACAAAAGACTAGTTATAGTAAAGACAAGAAGAAACATTGGCAGTAAAACGGAAATGCATGCAAAAAAGTATAAGAAATAAATAATGACTATCAAAGTGGCAGACATCATAATGGGTTTGACATTGCTACTTATCTCTTTGAAAATACACTAAATGATTACCATTCTTTTAATGTACTTTTGATGTCTTCATCAATGTTACGTGCTTGTTCAGAATTCTATCTCCGAGTTTCATTCTCCCGCTATCTAGAAATGCTATTTGTCCATTAATAGAATACTGTCACTTAAAGTTACATTTACGCACCATTTCATAAATAGGGATATAGCTGTAGTACTATGCTAAATTGCTGCAATGCACAGTTGCAGTGACATATGTGCATTGTCACAGCCAAATTTTGAATGTGAAGTGAGTGAGCTTATGATCCATTGCATTTAATGAAATGTGTCAAAACCTTGTGAACCTTTTCTTTGTTGTTAGATTCTTGATATGTGTGCAGCACCTGGATCAAAAACCGCTCAACTGATTGAGATGCTACATTCCGACATGAATATTCCTTTTCCAGGTATTTATCTTAAGTCTAGGAGGAGGGAGTATTTTTTAGGGGTTATGGTGGAGATGTTACTTTGCAATAGCTTGTTAAAACATTTCTGTGCTGAAGACTTGCTTCTGCTGGCCTTTTTTTTATTCACGAATGCAAAAAATTTGTGAAGTAAATCCTGCTTACTATATTGACAGCCTAATCAAAGTGTCTGCATCAAAAGTTTTTTTTGGTTAGCAAGGAGCTGACACATGCAGAAACTCTCAACTTGCTTTAGAGTATCTAATCCAGAGTTCTACCTCTGCATATGCCACATAACCATGGAAATGTTTCTGTGCCTGGAATGGAATGCACACCCTCTCTGCGGAGAGATTCCGTAAAGTGTTAGGTGCAATTTCGCAAGTGTGTTTGGTTACTAAATGATTTGGATTCAGGTATTGGAGATGTTTTGTCAAAATTTGCAGACGACACCAAACTGAGCACTCATTCCCTGGAGAGACACGCTCTGCTTACCTAAATATTAGAAGCTGGTTGGCAAGAACCAAGGCTTGGGGACCCAAGAATATATGTTGGGAAACTTCTGGAGTCTAACCAGCTAAAACCACATAGCTTGCTATTGAGAGCACTGTCAGGCAAGCTTTCTTGCTGCTCGTCCAGCTAGGACTATCCTACCAGTTAGGGGTTTGGTTTGCAGGGTTAACAGGAGCTGAGGCCCAGTGACTGGTCTGCCTTTCCAAGTCCTGCCATGAGCCAGGCTGCCTGTTCTGTCATCAACAGTGCCCTGGATTACTGTGGCCCCGCCTGACTCAGGAACCGGACTGCTCAATTCGGACAATCCATTCCCAAACATGTCACCTTGAAGCCCATTCAGCTTCAAGGAGACCCCAGTTATCTCCCTCCCGCACCTCCTCCTCCAAGGATAATAGTCATTTGTTGGACATTTGACATCTGACGAGCATGGTTTGCACAGAGGTGAATTAATTTCACGTTGATTCCCAGCATATTGTCTCACTAGAATGTCTGAAGGGCACAGTTGTTGAGGGATTCAGAGCATGTCCAGAAGCCAGCGGAGTTTGAGCAGTTATTTTTAGAAATGACTTTGTGCCCTTGTGACTTCTGTTTGAAGCCATTACAATTTGTGTTGTGATTTGATTTTTCTTTTGATAAATGTTTGAAAGCTCAACTCAAAGTCAGGATTTTAACAAAAATACTAATTTTGGCTTCCGTTTCCTCTAGAGGGTTTTGTAATTGCAAACGATGTTGACAACAAGCGATGTTATCTGTTGGTTCATCAGTCAAAGCGCTTGCACAGTCCGTGCATCATGGTCATAAATCACGATGCCTCCAACATACCCAGACTACAGATGGTGGAGGCTGATGGTCAAAGGGACATTCTCTTCTATGACAGGATTTTGTGTGATGTTCCTTGCAGGTACAGCAAAGTTCTGACTTTGACACAAGATAGTTATTGTCCTATCCAGCTGCTAATAGCTGGATTTCTTCATGTCCAGTTCTGAAATATCTAATGTAGATAACTCTGCCAACATTGACATTCATGTCTGATGGTAACAATTGGGTTCTTACTAATTGGGTACTATTTTTATTGGATTTGCGCTTCTGAAGATTATTATTGTTTAATATAAATAAAACAGGTCATTCTGGGATAATTTCACCCTCCTTTTCATTTAGGCTTCCTGAACAGTCAAAATGTATTTTTGGACGGAAAACTTTATTTTCTAATTTATGAATTTATAGAGGGAAAAATGCAATTATTTATAGTTTTAAGCATTCATTTTATTATGTTTTTTAAAACTTCTTAAATTAGTTGGTTATGGATACTTTGAGATACTTTTTTTTTGTCTCCTCTAAGTTTTTTTGACTTTTCTCATTATGGGGGTTTGAGCTTGCATGGAGACCAGTCACCCTCTGTTATAGCATCCAAGTATCCATTATTTATGTCTTAGTTATGACTGTGTGTCAACTGTGCAATTGCGTTATGGTCATATCTATAGTCAATGTCTCATGTGTCTGGACTTGTTCGGTGAGTTTATGCTGCCAAAGATGTTTTGTTCCCCACTGAAAAAGAGCATTTCATCCCTGTTACTTCGTGAATATTGTTGCCTACCTTCAATTGAGGTGTCCTGGTAGTGCAAATTATGCAACGCTCGAGACACATTTTGAATTTGGGTGACGAGAAATGGTTCATTTGTTTATTTTTGAATGTTTGAACTGAACTTTTATCATTGTAGTGGTGATGCCACCTTAAGAAAGAACATTGATGTGTGGAAAAAGTGGACAACGAGCAACAGCTTACAGTTGCATGGGTAAGTCCATTGATTCTTTTATATGTAATGTAGACAGTAGGTTTTATGTTCTATATTTACACTATGTCTATTGATCTGACACAATACTGCCTTCAGAGTGGTAAATAGAAACAGAACAATAATAAACTGAAGCATTCAGTTCTTATTTGGCAACTGAAAATAACAGAAGCAGAGTTGCAAACTAGGGTACAAGATCTGTCAACCAAAGAGCTTGTGTACACTTACAAAATAATAATTACACTTTACAATATATTCTGTCAATTGCTTTGAGTTGCCCTCTGGACTTGAAAGGTGCTGTATCAAATGTAAGGATAATTGTATTATTTACTTCCATAATTCGCCCATAAATTAATCAGTCAATTTACTTTACAGTATATTCTTTGAAGCACTTTGAGATGTCTCAACAACATGATGAGGCGCTATATCAAATGCAAGGATTATTATTATTATAACAACACATGGTTAATATGAATCTTCTGTCCCGCTTCTGTCTTAGCTTCCCTTCAAGTGATTTCTATGGGATGTAGCTGTTTTGTTGTGGTATTAAAATTCTGAAGAATCGTACAGATTGCAAGTTAATTTTTCCTGTTTCAAATTCTGTTCGCTGAAAATTGGAGCAGTGGCAGAAGGCCCGCTCTCCAATGGTGGGACAGGCGAGGCGGGGGATGTGAAGCAGGCCGGAGCCTGCTGAGTGGGCAGGATGGTAGGGGGTTAGGAGGTCGCAGAGATGGGAGGGAGCAAGGCCATTGAGGGCTTTGAAGGATCTTCAACTGTATCCTCTGTGTGATGGGAACAACAACAACAAGATTCCATTTATAAAGCGCCTTTCACGTCAGGAGGACGTCCCAAGGCGCTGCACAGTTGGGTCATGACCCGAGCAGGGGGGAAATGGTCAGGGTGAGGGGAGGGAAGGGAGGGAGCGAGGAGGGGGGAAATGGTCAGGGTGAGGGGAGGGAAGGGAGGGAGCGAGGAGGGGGAAGAGAGTCGAGAGGGGAGCTGAAGGCACGGTCAAAGGGAAGCCAGTGGAGTTGGGTGACGATGGGGGTAATAGGGTTTCAGACCCTGATGTGGGAGAGGACCTGGGCTACAGAGTTCTGGATGATCTACAGCCTATGGAAGGAGGAGCTGGGGAGGCCAACAAGCAAGGAGTTTGCATAGTCAAGCCTCGATGTTATGAATGCATGAATGAGGGTTTCGTCGGCCTGTGGTGTTAGACAGTGGTGGAGCCGGGGGACATTGGGGAAGGCAGAGCGGGTCATGGTGCAGATGTGGGGTAGAAAGGATCGTTGAGGGTCAAAGAAGAGACCAAGGTCCTGGACTGGCTTAGTAAGGTGGAGTGTGAATCCATGGATGGTGATGCTGTGCCTGAGGTGTGGAGGCGCTGACAGCCAATCAGGAGAGCCTCGGTCTTGTTGACGTTTAACTGAAGAAAGTTAGCTCTCATCCAGGACTTTGTCTGACAGATGTGGGACACAATGTGGGAGCATTATGGGGAAGCAGTTTGGATTGGTGGCAGCAGCCAAAATGCGCATGCTGAGACGAGAAGCGAACAGCGATGTGGGGGCGGGGGGAGTGGCAGCGAGGTGTGATTAGCCCGCTGGCGAGGATCATCATGGGGAGAGGGGGACAATCTTACAGTCCCAGTGAGTCCAAGCTGAGAAATTCAAAGGTGGCGGGTGGATAAATGGCTGGGATAGTTTTTTTTAAGGAGCAGACTTGAATGAAAATGATTCAAGCCACAGGAGTGAGAGGCGATTGAACAAGTTGGGCTTTGTACTTTGTTTTTAGGAGGTTTTAGTTCTCTGGTTTTCTCCGGGTGGGGGTGGGGGCTGAACTTAAAGACTGACAATGGTATAACAGGCAGTTCTTTTTGAGGAGATGGAATGGGATGACCTGTTCTGGCAGTGGACTTGATGGGTCTTTGAGCCTTTTTGTTTTCTTTCACTTCTATGCATTTCTGTGTGTAATGATAATAATCCTTGCTGAACTGAGATAATAATCCTTACTTTTGATATATCCCTCCACTACCATCCATAAAATCCAGATTATTCAAAACGCTGCTGCCCGCATTCTCACCCGCACCAACCTCCGCTCCCCGATTACCCCAGTCCTTGCCAGACTGCACTGGCTGCCTGTCCCAGAGAGGATCGATTTCAAGATCCTCACCTTTGTCTTCAAATCCCTCCACTCCTCTGCCCTCCCCACCTCTCTGACCTCTCCTCAAAACAGTACCCGTTGCCTTCATTCCTCCAGGTCTGGCCTCCTCCTTGTCCCCCCGAGTCCTCCGCTCCACTCTCGGCGGCCGTGCCTTCTGGAACTCACTCCCTTCGCCTCGCCCCCTCTCTTCCTATTTTCAGGTCTCTGCTGAAGACCTTTCTTTTCGACCGCGCCTTTGGTCACCTTCCTCCCCCTCCCCCTGGCTCGGCACCGGGATCTGTTACTGTGAAGCGCTCTGAGACGACACCCTGCGTGGAGGGCACTATATAAATCCAAGTTGTTGTTGTAGCGCCTCATCACGCCATTGAGACTTCTCAAAGCGCTTCACAGAATATACTGTAAAGTGAATTGACTGTATATTTTGTGGGCGAAACGCGGCAGCCAATTGAATGTTCAATATGTATGTTTATACATCTGTAATAAGTAGGAGTGCATTACCAGCTTGCACAGTACACCAAAATAGGACTTCAAACTGCTTATTGTTACCTTAGCTTTATGAGCTCATTTCCCTCTGTGCTGGTATTGTCTTTACCTGTGAGGACACTGGGAGGGAGCAGGCAATCGCTTGGCTAAGGTGGAATGTTTTGGACTATGTGTCTGCCTGTTTCTATGGATTTGATTAATGAAGTCAGGAATTGAAGCCCACTTTACCAGACTCCCCACTGTATAACCTTGGAAGCATCTGCAGCAGATGACTTCGCTACAGGGAGGAAGTTGTGCCAGAGGGGCTCGTTGCCCAATTCCAATGGATAGTATGATCTCTAAATAGGCATGTGTACAGTCATGAAAGTTCCACTTGATATTCTGTTCAGTGTTTGTTGCTCAGTGCTTACTTTTTTGTTTTAATATGCACTATCCAACAACTGACCATTAATTAAGCACATTGTAACGCCTTTTTTGGAAAATAAACATATTGAAGTGTTTAATGTTAAAGTGGTGCATGTGCTTAATGTTTTTGTGTTTCTGTACTTATCCTTATGTGCTGTACACTTCTCTTTTATAGAATGTGTCCAACCTCTAGTTACAGGAGGGGCAGTAGTAAAGGTTACAGAAGGGCCCACTACGTCTATGTGCAGCTGCTCCTGGTAGATCTCCATCAATGCCAGATATCTCTGGTACTGTATTCGGTGTAGGGTACCAGCTGCCACTTGTTCAGGGTTACAGGGTGGCAGATCTGATTATGCTGAGCAGCCAACCCTCTGTGTTGTGAATGCCAACTTCTCCCACAAAATAATGGTCCCAGTCCCAATCTACATTTCTACTGTAAAGATTTGGGCTCTTGCAATTTTGATGCTGTATTCAGTCACAATTTTTGTTAAACTGTAATTCAGTTCCTGCTTTCTGTGAGGGAGAGGATTATAAAGTGAAGCGTTGTTCTTTTGAGCATTGTTTTCAAAAAGAGTCTTCTGTGTTTCAAGTTTACAGCAGAGGATTGTAATTCGTGGTGTGGAACAGCTGACTGTAGGTGGCAGAATGGTCTATTCTACCTGCTCTCTGAACCCCATTGAGAATGAAGCTGTGATAGCAACTGTTCTTGAGAAGAGTGAAGGTGAGCATCGAGTGCTGGTCTCTAGTGGCTTGTTTGGGAGGAAATTATCGAACCTACCAAGTTCTTGACCATTTTAAAGCTGCTTGTTTTCTGTCTATGCCTTTTAAAACCTATCGAACAAATGGTGCAAGAGGTTTTAAAAAGCATCCTGAAACATTTGTGTTTAGTAAGCAGTAAAATAATTGAAAATGGACTGATTGTTAAAATTAGGCATATTTTATACTTGTGACAATCCATTACACTCAAGTGCTTGGAGTGTATCTGAGTGTGAATGCTTTTGAGTGTATTTAAAAGTATAAATGTTATCTTAGAAATACTGGCATCTGCTCATTCTATTCTAACATTTCTTCAGGCTAGTAATTTTCAAATAGAACCTTTGTTGTACGATTTGAGAAGAATTAAGGTATAAATGCTTAATTTGTAGTCATTTAATTAAATTATGAGTAGTATTTAAATTGGTTCAGTAGTGTGGATGATGTAAATATTTACACTTGTTTAAGTAGTGGACTTGTTTGCATTGAATCCAGAAGATAAAGTGAATTTGACACAATTGAATTGTGTTGTAGGAACCCTTGAGCTAATTGATGTTTCATCTGAGTTGCCGGGGTTAAAAAGGATGCCTGGATTAACGTCATGGAAGGTAGTTCTTTAATTGACTTGTGATTTGATTCAGTTCTGCAAAACAATTTCACAGTCTTCTGCTCCAGCCTGGGAATCCTCCGTTGGGCTCACTGTTGGCTATCCAGGAGCAGCCACCCCGGCTGCACCATCCCCCATTTCCTCCGCAAGGCCCACCGGCCCCAGACCCCAGGGCAAACCTTCCCTCCCTCATCCCTGTCAATCCTCCCCCTCCCACTACCCCCTCGTCTCGCTCTTTCCTCTGCCAATCGCATTGCCCTACAAATTTGTTGTTGTATTCCCTTTCTTTTTGCCGCCTCCTCTTCCCAGACCAGCCAGTGTTTTATTAAGCAGTATTTGCTTCACTATACAAGAATACTGTATTTTACTGTGTTAAACCTTGTGGTACAGTCCATTTTGGAATTGTGAATGAATCTGGAATTAATTTTGGAATTGTATCTGATTGGAAGTAGTGTGACATGACAGTCGCCTGCTTCATTCCTGATGTAGAGGCTTCTTGACCTGTGTGTTACATTAGACTACTAATCAAATTATGATTGTATGATCACAAAATGTATTTGGTGTCAGGTAATGACCAGAGAAGGCCAGTGGTTTGCGGATTGGTCAGAAGTGCCGGAGAACAAACAAACCCAGATTCGCCCAACAATGTTTCCAACCAAAGACCCAGAGAAACTGAAAGCAATGAACCTAGAGAGATGGTTAGTTGTACCAAGTTCTTGTGATTCTGACTAACGTGATTAATACATTTTATAAGTGATTTTTATATATAATATCACTACTTGTAGTTTTGAATTGCAGAGCCGTTTAAGATGTGAATGTTTCATGCATGTTTTACTTAACTTCACCTGAATCGCATTTAGAAGATAACATTTACAAACTATTTTTACAAATTTTGTCCGTGCTGGTTCTTTGAAAGAATAACCCCATTCAGGCCCATTTACCTACCTTTTCTCCAAACCCTTGGAAATTGTACCTTTTAAAATATCAATTTGTGTTGACAATTTGAAATAATTAAAACATTTTGCATATCCTTAATCACGTTAACTAAGGTCACTTATAAATGTGATGAGGATAGTTTGTGAAGACATCTTATTTTTAATGTGTATCTAAAAGCTTCCCTGGGCTTGTCATGGTTCTGATATAAACCTCTGATTGCTTTCTTTTTGCCTTTTCCCCCCTCATGTGTAGTATTTTTTATTTGGCTATAAAATATCTGGAAATGAATTCTTGGAGCAGTTTATTATTGCCGAGCTACAAATATAGAAAGATGTTGATAGAAATATAGAAAAATAATGTGATTTGTAATTTGACATTTGCATGATCAAACCTGAAATGAAGGGAAAGTGCACCACATAGCAGAGTTCTAATTATACTCAAGCTATGTTATGATTTGTAGTGCAAACGAGAAGGATTGTGTATATGACTGTGTAACTTGTACAGTATTAGGGTCCTTCCTCATCATCAGAACACTGGAGGATTCTTTGTAGCTGTTTTACAGAAGAGAGCTACAATGCCATGGAACAGACGGGAACCAAAGGTAAGGAGCTTTTCATTTAGCAATAAAATAGAAAGATTGTGCAATGGTTAAAATCTGCTCCCACTAATAATCCCACTATATCCTTGATTTGCAAAGGTTGGCAGATGGCTGCTGATTGCATTCTGACTTTGCTGTTGCACTGCCCACAGACAGATCGGAAAAGTGGATCACCTTGGTTTATTTTCCCTGTCTCCTCGATGAAAGGAAGTCTTTTTGTTTACCTGCCACTGAGGTTCAAACAGCTTGTGCTAAAAGGCAACCATCAGACTTGCTGAACACTGTATGGTGATTGTAAATGCATCAAAGTAATATTCAGGTAGATTAAATTTGGGAACAGTTTTAGAATGGGACTTGGTCTGTACATAAGTTTCGAAATTGGTTGGAATACAACTCCAAATAAAATAACTTCAAATTATCAGAAAGCCCTGTATAAATCTGCCATGTTGATATGTTTGGGAGCTGTCTGAGATTTGTGTTCCAATAAGGATACTTAACAGTGAGATGTGTGATTTTTGAATGCCTAATCCAATGCTTATTTTCGCCTGATGTTACCAAGAGTAGATATAATGTGTATGGGTGACTGGTCCTAGATTCTTTCCCTTTCTCCTTCCCTATAGTCAAGTCCTTAAACTCACTTCACTGCCTCCATATGATAGGATGATCCATGGAAGTACTCCACTGTTATTTAACATGGTGAAACAAATCCAATAAAACAGAAGTTAAATTTTTGATAGTTGATTGGAAAGACAAAAACTTGCATTTGAATGCGTCAGCCTGGCTCAGATTGTAGCACTCTTATCTCACAATCAGAACGTTGTGGGTTCAAGCCCAAGGTCGGGTCTTAAAATCATATGGTCTAAGCTGGCACTCTGATGCAGTGCTGGTGGGTACATTGTTAGAGGTGCCATCCTTCGGATGAGACATTAATCCGAGGTCCTGTCTGGCTATCCATGGGGACATTCCTATGGCACAATTGAAGAGAAAAGGGAATTTCTCCTACTATCCCATCCCAATATTCCCCCAAATAAAATTGTCCACTCATGCAATGACTGTTTGTGGGCAGACAGTCACACCACTTTAAAGTATATCCAGTGAATTGCTTTCAGATGTCTCAATGACTTGGTAAGGCTCTATATCAAATGCAAGGCTTATTTTTATATAGTTCTATTCACACAATAAGACTGGGCTTGATCGATCAAACACCTTTTTCTTTCCGGTCCATTCTTGTCTTTTTCGCCTAACAGTAAATGTTAATAAGTTATACATTTTAAAGCATAGTCTTGCACAAATGGATGGTTGAAGATAGTGGTTCTGAATAGTTGAAGAGTCAAGTCTTGATGAATAATAAAATCCACACTTAGTTCTTTCATGTTGGAAAGAAGTGAGACAGAACCATACAAGCATTTATCTGAGGGGTAGGGTACATTAATATCCTTAATGTGTATTTGTGGCAGTGGAGACACAAAACAGCAGCAGTTGATGGGGTATTGGTTGCTGCTACTGAAAAAGGAGATACTGAAATAATGGATCAAACTAAAGAACCCGAGGACAGTGAGGAATCATCTGCTGGTAAAGATAGAATTTGTTGGTAAGTAATATCACCAACAAATAATCACTACAGTAAAATCCTGTGAAGGGCATTGAGACGGTTCCATGACCTATTAAGGTTCAATATCAAATGCAAAGATTGTTATGTATGTAATATTGAATGCTAAAAAGGTAATGCAAAACTTGTATACAAATTAGTTAGAACATTGCATTCAATATTAGCCACTCCACTTAGGAAAGACATCAAGGTGATAGAGGGGATGCGGAGGAGATTTACAACAACAACATTCCACTTATTGAGCGCCTTTCACGTCGGGAAGTCGTCCCAAGGCGCTGTACAGTTGGGTCAGGACCCGAGCAAGAGGGAAATGGTCAGGGTGAGGGGAGGGAAGGGAGGGAGTGAGGAGGGGGTAGAGAGTCGAGAGGGGAGCTGAAGGCACGGTCAAAGAGAAAGGTCTTGAGACCGGCCTTGAAGGAGGAAAGGGAGGAGGCGGCGAAGGCACTGGGGGATAGAGTTCCAGAGCCTCGGGGCTGAGAGGCTGAAGGCCCGGCCACCGATAGTAGGGCGGTTGGGGCGGGGGGTGTGGATTTACTTGGATAATACTGGGGGTGAGTGGTTTGGCCTATGAGCAGAGACTGGAGGAACTGTGACTTCTTCCATTGAATCAAAGAAGGCTGAGGAGTGACATGCTAGAGGTCTTTTGAAAAATAAAGAGATTGATAGTCAATAGGGGGAAATTATTTCCACTGGTCAGTTGAGTGTGTGATTGGAGAGCATTAATTTAAGATGGCAGGCAAATCAGCAAATAGGGAGATTAGGAGAATCATTTTTCTCACACATTAATTAGGATATGGAATGACCTTCCGGAAGTGGTGGTTGAAGCAGAATCTATATTAGCTTCTGAGATAAATTTTCCAGATAAATACCGTTAAAATGAGTCAGGTACAAGGATATGGGGAAAGGGCAAGAAAATATGACTGAAAGGATTGCTCTTAAAGGAACTGACACAGACATGATGGAATGACCTTCTGTGCTGTAAATGTCTGGTTCTAAAGGCACCCCAAGCATTTGCATCAGTATTATCTGTCTTTTGAATACTTTTAATCCAGTGGTGTTTTTGAGGTAGTCTAGAGCACTTGAAAACTACCTTCCTCTTCTCCAGACTTGCTCCATATAAATGTAGATCTTAATTTAGAGCTTGCAAGTTTTCAGATGTGTATGGGTGCACTGATACCTAATGTCAGAGAGTGACTTTTTTTTTAAAACAAGTGTGAATTGCTTTAAGATGGCCTATGTGAGTGATCTTAAAGAAATGGATTCCTCAGATTTTTGGTCCCTAAGATGTTTTAGTGAGTCCAGCTGCTTTTAAACTGTTTATAAAATGGTTCTTTTAAGGTTGGGACGATCTCCGGACATGAAAGGCGCTAAACAAATGTAATCTTGTTGTTGTTCTTTTGCACAAAATTAGATTGTAGTTTAGTGCACTGGGGCGCCAGAGGCATATGGCAGACTTGGAGTTTACCTGTTGTACTGATCTCAACCTTGGTTCAGTGACCAGATGTTTCCACACAGTTGGAGAAGTGTGGTATGTGTTTGCTATTCTGACCTGCCTCCTGGGTATTGCTCCAGAATAGCATTGACAATGGTCTGGAGGAAAGATAATCCCAATTTATTTTGTATAAAAAATCTACTTGCTTTTTATCTCTCTTTTGCTGATTCTAGCGCTTATTGTGGTTCTGTGGTATATGTGATTGTGGTTCTTGTCCAGGAAAATTCCTCACGTTCTCTCTCTCTCTCTCTCTCTCACTTGGGGCTTCCTTTAGCCCACCACCATCTAAGAAAATGAAACTATTTGGATTCAAGGAAGATCCCTTTGTGTTCCTCAACGAAGATGATCCAATATTTCCACCAATTGAGTAAGAACTTTTTAGACCTGCAGGTCTTATTTTCATTGTGAAAAACTGAACTACTCTTGGAGTTGTGTCCATTTTTATTGCTGCTTTAGGCTTGCCTGACAGTGTATCTTGTTGGGACTGATGCACAAAGCCAAAGTAACCTAGAGCTGGGTGTACTAACTCTTTGCAGCCTGTAAATCCTTACATGTATTAATTTTGAGTGTCCTAGTACATTATTGTGTTAGTTTTCTGATAGATTTAGTCTCCAGTCCAAATAAACTACTTCACAATTTTATAGGGTAGAATTGTATTTTTATTTCAGTAAGATGCACAATGAAGCTTACAGTTTTCCCTGTCCCCTCAGGTAATAGGCTTGCTGCATTTCCCCTACCCTCTCTGTGCCACCATCGGTGGACAAGCCTTTGGTCACTATGCTCCTAACCTGTCGAATTCTGTCTCTCCCTCCGCCACCCACAATCCCCCTCATCTTTAAATCACACCTTAAGATCTACCTAGTGATCTGAGCCTGCACTTGGATGTGATTGACCTCTGTTAATTGTGTAAGGTTGTGGTGTTGTGCAGGAGTTCACCAAAATATACTGCATATGTAATAATAATAATATTATTATTATATGTGTAACCCGAGGGTTATGCCATTTTTTTTTTAAAAAGCCCTGCTTTTGATCTGGCTTGTCCAATGAATTTTACACAAGTGTAAATACCATCAGTGTGATCCGTATTGGGCTCGCCTGATCTTTATTCTTATCACCTATATTGTCCTGGCTGCCATAAGATTTGTTTGTATAAGATAAACAATTTTTATGAAAAAACGTAATGGATACATTTTTTATGTGTATGTGGAGCAACAACCTGCATGTCATGGATATATTTATATATTTTTAAAGAAGAAATTACAGTAAACTGCACATCAGTAATTCAGTTGTAGTTTTATGACCTTCAGAAGATTTCTGCATTTCCAATCGCATGCTCTTTTACCTCAGAACTGTTGGATTGTCTTGTAACTGCTAGCCATCTATAATCTTGTGTTGTCGAATTTAATCTGCTGCTTGATCTGGTGAATTAATTGTCTTTGTGCATTGGTGAAGAAGACATGGTCCAGATGAATTGCTAATCCTTTTTGTGCAGATGTATGCCAATTATGGCACATTGATGTATCTCCCGTGGAACACTTAATGGTGCTTAGAAGACTTTATAGGCACAGTTTTCAATTTGTATGATGTCTAGTTCGTTGATTTAATGTAAATGACTTTACATCAGATTATAACTAATCAAGCTAAGGGAGTACAATAACTTACAGGCTGCATTTGGGGTAAGGATTTTTCTAATTAGTTCAGATATTTAAAACTTGCTGGCCATGTTAATGTCTTATAATAACATTTTTAGATGGCTTTGACTGCTTCTTGGTTTCTGTTACCCTATTTGTCGTTTGTTTTACATCCTTGCTAAATTTTATAAAATGACAAATGAATTATTTCTAGGACATTTTACCTGCTGCATTCCTCATTCCCAAAATTCAACGTCCTCACTAGGACTCATGATGGAAAGAAACGCCACCTCTACATGGTTTCAAAGGAACTAAGAAATGTGCTTCTCCACAATAGTGAACGTATGAAGGTTGGTTTGCAAATACCCCCACTCCTAGTCTATGATCTCTTTAACCTAAATTTGAACATTGACTGAAGTGATCAATAATAAATGGTATTATTTTACCATTGCTAATGCAGAAAGAAAAGTGAATGTATTTTTGATCTGTTAATTGCTGAGCTTTTGTTAATGCTGGCTTCTTGTTTCATTCATGAAGACTACTGCAATAGCTTGCTTCATCTTTCTAGGTAATCAACACCGGAGTCAAAGTTTTAAGTCGCAATAATGATGGGGAGCAGTTTGGCTGTGCCTTCAGATTAGCGCAGGAGGTAATGAAAATGTCATTTTGTATATTTTCAGATAAAGTATGGTACGGGCTAATTTCCTGACCATAACAACACTTACAACTTTCATTTGCAATTCCTTTGATGTTTTATGTTGTGATAGAATCTTACAATATAGAAGGAACCGTTTGACCCATTATGTCAACGCTGGTGCAATCTCCCTGAATAGAGCTGTTTGCTCTAATCCTAATCTGCTCTTTCCCTGTGCTGAGTTTTTTTAACAAAATGGGAAAACAAACTTCTTTATTTTGAAAGTGAAGTTTTTAAACAAAGGCATTTTCAGATCACAAACTTAAAATCTAGTATCTATAGTTTATCTGAAAAGTAAAAGCTCTTTGTTTTGTCTTTACCCTGTGCCAGGCTCCGTGACCCTATCATCTCCATCCTAGCTCCCCATCCCCCAGAGGATCGAGTTCAAAATCCTTGTCCTCGCCTTCAAAGCCCTCCAGGGCCTTGTTCCTCTCTACCTTTGTGGCCTGCTAACTCCACATTGACCTGCCTGTTCCCTCTGCTTAGCAGACTCTGGCCTGCTCCACACCCCTGGCCCGCCCCACCATCAGCGGTCGGCCCTTCAGTCTCTATTCCCCTACCCTTGGAACTCCATTCCAGTCCCTTCGTCTTGCTCCCTCCCTTGCCTCTTTCAAGGCATGTCTGAAGACCCTCCTCTTCGACTGCACCTTCAGTCACCCTCTTATCCTCACTGCCCTCCATCCCTCCTGATCCCAACCTCCTGCTGGGGTCCAAATTCCTGATTGTTCAGTGCCTTGAGACGTCCTTCCAATATAAAAGGTCTATTTAAATACAAGTTGTTGTTACTTTAGCCTAGTATCAGTTGCATTGTCTGCAAATTTCATATGCGGCAGTTTACAGAGCCAGTGAATTCAGTGAAAAAGTGTGTTCTCCTTTAACTACCATGGAATTTATCTATTCCAAGAAACACAAACAGTACTTGTTCATTCCTATCATGTCCATATGGCTTGTCCATTCAGACTAAAATAAATTATTGAAAGCACCACAATTTGCACTTGCATAGAATCTTGGAGGCATAATTTCAGATTGAATTCTTGTACCTGTAATATGAATTGTCCGAGCCAGGCTTGGCACAAGATAGTAAGATATTCTCTATTGAGTATTTTTAACAGCAATCCTGTGCTGTCAATGTGTGACTATTATGTGTAGTACTGTAGTAAATGGAAAGTCTTTGAAGTCTTTGGCTCTTGAGTTTTAAGTTGATAAAAATGAAATGATTTGCACCTTTAGGGGATCTATACATTAAACCCATACATTAATGGAAGAATCATAAAGATTTCTATTGAGGATGTTATGGTTCTATTGACCCAAGAGAATCCATTCATCGGTAAACTTTCGAGTGAAGCCCAGAAAGTCGCCAAGAAGCTGGGTGAGTTGACTATATTTTTCTGTTCTAATGGAAGGAGAGCTGCATATAATAGCTGAACAAAAGAAACCTTGTGTATTATAAGGTGTATGTGTATAGTATGTTGCTGAGCATTGCATGTCACTTTGTTACTTGACGGCAGAGAATTTATGGATGTAATACATGTGAAGTGTGCACTAACCCCAGTGCAAAATGTAGCTAATGTAAATGGTTCATTTTGAAATGAACTAGATGGGTAAGTGTAACCCACTGTACCTAGTAATTCCTGATGCATTTACGCCTTAAATTCAGGTTGGCTGTTCACAGAAAATGGGCATTATTTGAAATTGTCATTCACACTGCAGTGCTCAGCAGGTGAAAGCCAGTAAATTGAAGTGACTAAGTTACATGGGCAAAACCTGCCAAGGGCCATTTTTATTGCTCCAGTGCTAAAACAACGTGTTCTCTGCTTTTACTGCTTATTTTGGCTCCCTAGAGCTTACTAACCTAACCTGGATTTCCACTTAAATATTTGAGTGAGACTTTTTTTATTTTAGATGCTGTTGGAATCCGAACCAATGCATTATCATAAATGCTTACAGCAACTAAAAACAACTGCATGGAACTCCATGAATATAAATTTATAGCCTTGGCACATTTTATTTAAGGCACTTCCTGTGTTTATCCACTGCTAAGTTTGTCCTCTATTGATGCTGAACCTGTGAAATTATTGATACAGACACGGTATAAAATACGTTTATAAGGAAATCTTCCACACATGGCTCTATTCCAGATGCATTTGAGATTTGATTTTAGATTAATTCAACAATTTACATTTATATAGCACTCTTCACGTGAAGCATTATCTATTTACAGGCCTGTAGTATTTAATTTGAAATAGTATTTTCATCTTCTGTTGACTTAACAATTGGAGCTGCTGGTTTTTTTTCTTTACAGTGTGATAGCCATAACTTCTTCGCAGGTGGGAGCATTTTCTTTATACACACCCCAAACGTGAGGTGTTGTGCTATTGTTTCCTGATGTCTTCAGTAAGATAGAGAGCCAGACTGAAAATGCCCTTTCTGGTGTGATTATAAATCTGACCAAATTCAATATTTTAAGTGTGCAACAGGGGTAAATTTTAATTGTATATAGATTTATGTATTCTGTTCCAAATAAGTTATGATCCACAGCTTGTCAAAATTGAACACCATACGTAGTTTTTGTACATTACCTATTTTCAATGTTGCTGGAGATTTCAAACCGTATATTTCTATACAGCATACAATGTCTGTCCAGCACAGACACATTGGGTCGAATGGCTTCCTTCTATTTGGTATGATTCTATAAATAGTATGAAGTTTCTGAAAATCCTACTGAAGATGTAATGTGTAGTTCATCTTTGAAAACTTTGTTTTGATGGCCAATGGTTCAGAAGCCAGTAAATTGAAGTGGTTGTTCTCCAATTGCGGTTTAATGGACATAAGAAATATTAGACGAAAGAAGACCAAGTGCAGCGGTTGCATGCACATATGTTCCAAACTACCTATGTACTATATCCCATAATGTTATTTCAACTATGGAGTTTATCAACTGAGAACATATTCCCTTCTCTTTCAGTTATGGGGAGCATTGTGCTGAAATATGAACCGGATCCATTGTGAGTCTCAAATTACTTTGCAGTCATGCTAGTTTGCAGTATTAAATTAGATTTGTTCAATAGAATCGTTCAAAAAGACACTAGATAAGCAGTAAAACCACAGCAGTTCATAGCAGTAATTATAAACAGTTCGCTCACAAAATACACATCACTTTACAGCATGTCCTGTGAATTGCTTTAAGACTTCTCAATGACCAAATGTAAGAATTATTATTAAAAGTATTACAAGATGTGAAGAAGAACTGAAAGTGGGATTGATAATAAAAATTGATAACCTAACAGTGGTACATACAACATGGGTTCAATCCTGTGGATGGCACATTTCTGTAAGTACTTTTTTTCCAACGAAAGTTAACTCCAATCCACGTATCATTAATGGCTACATTCTAGAAAACAATATATTTTTCATAAGTAGGCTGTAGTCTCAAATCAAGTTAATTATCTTATATTTAGATTGACGTCCTGGCTTTCCTTTTCCTGGACCCTGACCTCCAATATATCTTCTGTGCAGTGAAGTTAGCTCGCTGGTCTTAACTAATCATATTGTAAGGATCAGAACGTTGGATGTAACAGAGTATTTGGATGGGTCAGGTCTTTATTTCAATAAAGAGGTCTGGAGTGCTTGTCAACAGATATCCAAAAGTTATCGTAACAAAAATGTGACCACCTGGAAATGAGACTTGATTGTGATTTTTTTAAAAAAATGTCTCTGTCTCTTTGCTTTTCTCTTTGGGGGCCCCAGAAACACTGAAGGTCCAAAGTGCCCCATAGTTCTGTGCGGCTGGAGGGGGAAGAATTCAATCCGTGCCTTTGTTGCAAAGAATGAGCGTTTGCATTACCTGCGCATGTTGGGAGTGGAAGTTTTCAGAGAGAAGAATAAGAGCGAGGGGTTACAAAATGTGACTGCAGGCGCTGAGGAAAATGAACCAACGGAGAGCAAATTGAAAGTGGTGGAAGAGGAAGAAGCTGCAGCTGTGGAGAAGGTGAAAGAGGATCTTGACAGGTGTGAAAAATCTGATGAGACTCGAGAAGCCACAGAAAAACCTGGAGAATGTCTAGAGGATGTAAAGGAGACTAAGGTGGAAATTGAGACTGAAGGTGATGTTACAAAGGAAATTCCAGATGCTATCAATACTTGCCCAAACATTGAGAAGTCTAATAGTGCTGAAGAGACATCTTCTGAGGCAGATAAATTGAATGTTAAACCTTAAAAAGAGTTGCGGATCACTGCATGGACTGATTGACATTACAGCACTGACCTTGAGTGGTCCTGTAATGAAGTGCTCAATGTCGAGGGCAGATAGTTTGAAATGGGGAATATTCCCTGAAACACTAGCTGTTCGGTGTACATGCACTCAGTCCTTTAGACACACGGGCTTCAAACAATTACTTAAGATCTGTCGATCTTTTGCAGGTGTTTATGAAAAAATCTCATAATTGACCACTTTAATTTCAGTAATGTGTCATCTAAAAGTAACTGATATGTTTGGCAGAGGTATTGCCTTCATGCAAAAGGTGACCAATTACTTATGGCACGTAGAATAGCTGTCAATCGCTCACAAGTGATGCAGTAAATGTGATATACATTGTTGGATTGTACATTTTGCTAACCCTATCATGAAGATTGTACCTCGGCATTTGCAGTTTCTAACCTATTTGGTGCCTTTTTATGCTTCTAGCAGAGCATTTTTTTTATATAAACTTTTGTAAATCCCTTGCCTTGAAAATGGCTAAAAGATTTTACAGTATGACTTTTGAACCTTTTATTTTAAAGCTGTTTTATTTAAAATTCTGAAAACCATGTATTTAAAGCTTACAGAAATACCAAAAGGGAACTGTTCTGAATGTCATCAAAATTGGTTACAAATACTGTAAAGAATATCCGATGTCCTGCTGAGATACCAATAAAGCAGTGAATCTTCAAATGTTGGTGTGTGTATTTTCCCCTCTTTTTGTAATACATTACTAATTTAGTAATTGCACCTTTCGTGTAGGTAGGATGTCTCAAAGCGCTTCACAGAATTTTAATGACTGTATTGTATAGGTGAATGTGGCAGCCAATTTACGGCAGCAGGGTGCAGCAAAAAGCTGTGAATTAATGACCCAATTTTATCAGGGCGATTGCTAACCAGGACCCCAGGTGAAATTCCCTTTATTTAAATAGTACTATGGCATCTTCAAAGTCGACCTGAACTGGCAGATGGGATCTTGGTTTAATGTCTCATCTGAATGACAACATCTCCAATAGTATACTGCTCTTTACACTCCCTCCCCACCCCCCACCCAAAAAAAACACTAATGGAGTGTCAAACCGGACTAAGTTTAAAATTCCGACTTGAGTCTTGAACCCACAATTTTCTGACTCTGAGACAAAAGTACTCCAAACTGAGCTAGATTGACACCCTTCGTTTGCAAAGCTAGTATGTGTAAATTGACTTTAGACTTGCTTTGGGTCAGATAGAACCTGCAGTATAAAGGGTTGCATATTAGAAACCCTGTTTTCCCAAAGGACCCGGATTTAAAACTGAAAGCGAAGCTAAAATGCTAAGCTTCGTGACTCTTCTGTAATGGAAGTGAATTCAATTATGATCATTTTCAGTGCACTTATAGCCTTGGGAAATAGTATGTAGGCTGATGCATTGATTGGAGTCTACTGCAAGCAGGCTCAACATTTAATGACTGAATGGCAAAGTATTCCAATTTTAAAATAAAGTGGTCGTGACTTGTGGGATGACACTATGTGTAACCCTGGATGGCACAGGCCCCAAGGCTATTTTAATTCGTCTTTATTGAAGCCAAATTAGATAAATGTTGATAAATGTTGCTAGCTGAGAGTCGCTCCTCCTGCCTGTGTTGTGTAGCTAGTTCACAGTCTTCCCTTTTGCCAGACATGTGGCCAAATAAGTGTCACCCCTAGTCCATCTTTGTGGGACACTGAGCAGAATTGCATTCCGGGAAAAAGAACTTATGCTGCTCTTTGGAGGATCAGCCTGGGTGTCTGACCCATGCAGAAAACCATCACCATGTTTAAGAATATGTGAACCAAACGTATGCATCCCATCTACACATGGAAATTCCAGAAATAGATTGTTGGGATGGAATTGCAGTCTCTCACTTGAGGGATGGATTCTACTTACCGACTTCTGGACAATATTAAGTGCAAGTTGGCAAGAACCAAACCTCAGGAACCCCAGATGTGTGTGGGGGTACTGCTTCAAGTCTAACCAGCTAAAACTACTATGAAAGTTGTGAGACTCGAGTAGGAAACTTGGGATGAGAATAGAAGCCCATCTAGTTATGTCTTGGTGGCATCAAGGACATAAAATGGCCCTTATTCATCCTTTCACTGAAAGCACTGTCTGGCTAGCTTGTCCAGCTAGGACCACTCTAACCTTTAGGGCTGTGGTTTGCAGGTTTATCAGGAGCTGAGTGGAAAGAGTCCCTGACCCCAGTGACTGGTCTGTCCTACTGGACTTGGCTGTCAAAAGCAATGCCCAGGAATACTGAGGACCTGCCTGGATCATGAACCGGACTACCAAGGCCCCAACGAATGAGCATTTTTATGTGAAGAGATTATTATTATTATTAAGAGATGAATGAGGACCATCTTACAGGAACTCTACAGAGTAATGGAAGCAGTTGTAGTTAAGTATGTAAATAAATTGAGTTTGTTTTATTGTCCCTCTTTAGCCACTTAAAATGTTGGGAAGTATGCTAATTCCAGCATACAATACTCACAGGAAAGGAAGTTTGATGCAGAGTAAAGCTTCTTTCTCTACCAACAATGTCTCAAATCCAACTTCAGAAGTGCACACTCTACTTTCCATTAAAAAAATCATTATGATCTCTCTGTGATACTGCTGATTAATGCTGATTCGGGGTCAGTTCTATACTGTGGGCCTGAGCCTGCTGGGAACTAGGTTGAGAAATGGCCTCCATCTCATTTCACTCGCAGTCAGGAAACCGACGATTTTCATCTCATCAATCTGACCTGGATTTGAACCAAGATCCCAAGGTGAAAATCGTGTGCGGATCGACTACATCATCCAGCGGCTGTCTTGTTCAGTTGATTTGAGTCTCAATGCAGCATGCATTTATAGAACAACGTGTTTCTAGTGACTCCTTTTGTTCTAACTATTTCTGTTGTGTTTGATAATGGGCCACATTTTGAAAGAGACTGGAACTGAAGGCTTTCCAAATTGCTGAAATCGCTGCGTCTTAAGAGATGAATGTTTAACTTGCCTTTGTTTATTGCTTTCAGTAGCATTCTTTGTTACTCCACTGTTATGTTGAGTTGAAAGCTGTTTAGATGAAAATAAGGTGTACACTGCATCTGATAACTGAATATCTCTGCAGTCTGCTGATAATTCAGCCGCAGGCTGTTACCTGACTGAATAAAAGGAAAGTCGGTTTCCCACAGCCTTGTCTAATGTGACAACTCAGTGTCCATATTGTATCCGGGAAACTTGTTTGGATTGTGAATATTAAAAGGAAGAAATACAGTTTAAAAATGGAATGCAAACACTACACAATGAAAATTGCTGAGACTTTTGATCAAAGAGTTTATGATGTACATTTTTCAATGAGAGAAAAATAATCTAGAGATAGTTGATGTTAAAATGCTGTATTGACCAATATGTTTTAAGTGGCCTAATTTAAGAAACTAGGTGCATTGTGAAGCTCTTAAGTTGAACTTAAGAGCAGCTTGTTACAGTATGTACCCCATACGTCTCAGTACACTGGGCATTATTTACAAATGACAGACAGTGTGACATGATGTACCAGCTTGATTTCATATTTACTGTTTGTGGGAGTTGGAGAAGGGTTTCCAGAATATTGCTGTACAGCTTGCATAGTTTCTCCCTGCTGAGTGTGTTAAAGGTTTCATCCTGACTCAGGCGTTTTACCATATGCCTTTCACATTTCTGTTTGGCTTGCAAGGGGAAGCTGACTGCTGTTGGCAGGAGCTAGGAATGACCAGTTCTTGTGAATTCTCCTCTCATCAGTCTTGATGAATGCATGATTTGTTTTTATTGGGGGGTGGAGTGGGTGGGGGATCCTGTCCATCAATGTTCGTGGGATGCAGTACTTTATGCAGTCAAATCAGAAAATGTTTGGGAGTGCTTTTTAGCTTTAGACAGTAATCAAAAATCATCTTTACCAAGCTGTACAGTATTTTCATCCTTATGTCGGTACTTTGATCTGACAGCCTAGTCTGATGCTTCATTACAAAAAAAATCACGGCAATGCTGTGGAGTGCTGCATTTTTGGAGGTACCATCCTTTGGATAAGATGCTTAACCATTTAGTGACTACCCGAAACACCACTTTTCAGTGCCACTGAAATCAGCGAGATCCTTCTGTAGTTTTTGATTTCACAAGGGTCACCCTTCTTGTAGACAGACACCATAATTACAGTCTGGAACACTGACAAGCTGTGTGCCTCAGAGAGAATTCTGTTGACCAGTGCTAGGACGGCAGCTCCAACTTGAGTTGTGGGTTCTTGGCTTGGACCTTTAAGATCCTCACCATTCTCCATCAACTTCCTCAGAGCAGCTTTTAGGAATTTAGCATTGATGCTGTCTGCACCAGTTCCCTTGCCATTGGCAAGTAGATTGGATCATTAAGGCCTTCAATCCGGTCCACATCAGCTCTTCAAGCCTCCATGCAGTTGGGTCTCTGCTCCAGCCTCTAATGTTCCCTCCAGACCCCAAGGATACCCTCATAGGTCTGTTGTAGAATATCAGACTTGTTCAATACTGGTATGGGCCCAGAGGGGCTCCTCCAGCCATGGCCGACAACAGGTTTAAGCGAGCGGAAGAAAGTTTTGGGATCGCTCCCACTTTCGGAAAATGCGGGAAGCGGCTACAGAGAGGAAGGGCTCTGGCCTACACTGACCTGCTGCTAAGCTCCTTGGAGGCAGAGGCGGTGTCACAGTGGGTACGTCTATTTGCCAAGACGTCTCGCATGAGGACCTGGATTGAGTAGCTGGTGCTAAGTATGCCTGGTACACAACATTGGACTTGGACTTCAAGAACATCAATGTGGCTGGCACATCACAAGCTGTCCTGTAAAGATCCTCCCACCATGCTGAAGGCAGATGCCCGCCAGGTAGCTGATGAGGAAACTCTGAGGCTTGGGCAACAGCTGCTGGAAGGCGCTGGAGTCTGAGTTTGTGAACACACGTTCGTACGTCCAGTGCCTGGAATCCACCTTGATTGGCCTGCAGAGAGGCAATAGCTGCTGCTTAAATTCCACACCTCCAACTGGTGGAACCATCGCTCAATGAGAAGGAATGTGTGCCCGAACTGTGGACAGGAAGACGGTGGCAATGCTCTCACGATTTTATGCTGAGATGTGTTGTCCAATGGGAAGCTCAGAGAGAGTTCCATTTACCAACCATCCACCTAGTGAGGCTCAAACCCTCGCTTGTCGGATGCCAAACAACCAACTGGTGACTATCTTCCTTGGGGGCTTGGTAACCAGGGTCTCCTTTGAGCTGAGCTGGCTCGAAGGTGACATGCTTGGCAACTGAATGTCAGAATCGAGCCAGCCCTCTGTGGCGGTCCTCTTAGTAGTCCGGTTTCTGAGCCAGGTGGGTCCACAGTATTCCAGGGCACTAATGATGACAGCACAGCCAGCCTGGCTCATTGGCAGGACTTGGAAAGGCAGACCAGTCACTGGGGGAAGAGAGTCATCTGACTCAGCTCCTGTTAACCCTGCAAGCCAAAGCCCTAATGGGTAGGGTGGTCCTAACTGGACAAGTAGTGGGAAAGCTTGCCAGACAGCAATGGCATGCGATTTTAGCTGGTTAGACTCTAGCCGTACACTGTACTGTGGACCCGCCTGACTCAGGAACCAACTACCAAGATCACCAGAGGGTTGACTTGATGCTGACATTCCGTTGCCAAGCATGTCACCTCAGA